ATGGAATGTTGAGGAAACGAAATCAGCTGAAAGCGAGCGAAGTAAGAGAAATGAATAAAGGCTGATAGTTTCGAAAGAAACTGTTTGGGGCTGCGTCGGTGGGAGTAACGAAATAATTTGGATATATCAACAAAGTTGAAATGGTAAATTGGCCACCGTAACGATTACAAAAGCTGACGTTTCGAGCGTTAGCCCTTCCTCGGAGCGAATAGAGGAATTGTGGGTTTCAACTTTGTTGATATATCCAAATTACTTCATGGGATAACTTAGCGAGATCCAAACCTGATTTACAGACAAGTGGATGAATTCCTTTTCCTACTGTGAGGAGGCAAAGATAGCCTGCCTTGTGCAACAAGAACATTCTCAGAAAGCTTCAAACTTCACAAGCTTGAGTGAAGACTACAGTGTTAAGATATTCAAACAACAGAGATGGATCCGGTTGGCATTATAACATAATGACTTATTCAAGTACCTTGACACTCTCTCTAAAGCTCTGCCTTTTAAAACTACCCTGTGATTCACTTTGTAATCCATAGGGTAGAGTTACATCGGCATTAAACTTCATAAATCGCATGTTGGATGCATGTGTCAGCTCCACAATCAGGGTCGCTCTTGGAAAACATCTGCCAAAGAAAGAATCCGTTTCACCAGACGTTGTTGACTTACCTACTTTCTTACTTATCTCAGTGATACAGAGAAAATTTTCTAATACACGCAAATTTTTCTTCACTTCTGTTAAGCTAAACATGAAGTACAAATAAAACTATCATGGCGTCTTTTAACGAATGAAAGCAAACTTGCTTCTTTGCAAGTCTTAGGCTGCTTAGCTTTCCAATCCCATGGCAAAACTAGCTGTATATATCTGTAGAGGTTAACAGCTTCACTGAAGTGAGAAAAGTGCGGCGCGATCAGCATATAAACCACCTGCTAAGAAAGGAGAAACTACGATCCAGGCCTAATGATCACGCCTGACTGGTGGTGGGGTTTCCTTGTAGATCAGAGGTAGAGCATCAGAGAGTGAAATCTGAAGGTCTGGGGTGCAATTCCTCTGAGGGGACCCAGAATTTTTAATTTCTCCCATGCTTGTGACAGGACATAATACATCGTTATTTCATAACAGCGCTCAAAATTTACCATCCTTCTTGGTTACGATCCATTCTGTTGCTAGAGAAGCCAGTGGAAGAATGCTTTGGCGTTAATTCTGAAGCAGGAGTACACAATAAGATACAATTGTATCATACCTGTAAATGCTCTGTACTTCTACAATGGTACTAGCGTCTGCCATGTGCTCCTCATCATACATCTGACCATCAGATCGATGCCCTACTACTACTATACTGTCTGCATGAAGACAACCAGCCTTGAGAAGGTCGTCCAAACTGAAAGTAAATCATACAGCAATTTTCAATACAGTGATGTCAAAGGTAATCCAGGGATGCAATGTTTTTGCTTTGATTTGGTCTGGGATTGGTCTAGAAAACTCGCACCATCCTCGCGGCCAATCAGATGTAAAACTAAAATAAATTGCGATTTGCTCATTCTTTTTGTCGTTCATGTGAACTGTATCTGCTTTGAGTTCCTAAGGGACACAAGTGATACTTTCCTTCGAGTTAAGTTTTACAACACTCAAACTGTGTTCTAACAAGTAAACAATCTACAATTAATGCAGTTTAACCTTTCGAATTAAAAGCAGAAAGATAACAAATAAGTGAAAAAATAATAAGGTACGAGTAGATACTAGCCTACAGCTTCCTCGCTACCATTTAGAGAAAATAACCCAATCCGTGTCAGCTTGCAGCTCAAAGAATTTTTCTCACCTATTTATATTTCCTAGAATATAATAGAGCATGGGAAAGTGACAAACAGCCATCAAGAAGTCTTCACTGGGCCTGTAGATTAAACACAGTTTCCTTTAAATAGGCTGTCGACTGTAGCTGCATGTACACTAGAGACATATTCAAAAAATTAGTATCATTTATAAGAAATAAAATTTAAAGTAATTAACATGATTATCAATAAATATTCAATGATGTCAGTAAACCAGTAAACAGCTACGTCTCGAATCAATTGCAGTGTTATTGAGAATTTATCTCAGTAGAATGTAATTTCAAGTCAACAGTTTGCTTGATGAACCCAAACAAATATTAGGATAAACCAAAAAGGAAGCAAAGAATACCCCTCTCCAACCTAAAATTAGCATTTCTATTATCCACACAGTTTTTAAATTTAAAAAAATTATCCACACTGTTCCCATTACATTTTCTATGGCACTGACGTGGAAAATTTGTTCATAGGTAATCGATCAACTATGATTTGTTTGACAACCAGGAGCTTCTTAAATAGGTGATCGTTTCCTTCACTCTCACGACATCTACATTTGATTGATGGGTTATACTTCATGGAGAATTAGAAGCCAGACACTCTTTGGAGTTAAAGGTATAAAAAGGATAGCAAAAAGCCATTGTAGCTCTTTTAAACCAATTGATTCACAGTAAAAAGATTCCAAATCAAACCCTTGGGAAAAGAATCAATCCAATACCACAGCGGTGACAGTAAAGATGGAAGAAAAATTGTTTGATTCTCGATTTCTAAATAACTACAATTCAGCTGTTTAGAACTAATGCAAAGTCACTCCTGAGTAATGTACTTCTTCCTCCACTACATCCTCACTAAAAGTCGTCCCTGTCATTATCTATAACCCCATGAGCTGGTACTTACTCTTCTTTCAGGAGAAGCACAATGGGTTTCAGGGTGCACTTTGGCCGCTGATAAGCTCTAAGGGGCAAAATAAAGTTGTACAATCCAGCCTCAGCTACAGGTGACGCAACAATGATAGCTCCCTTTTGTCTCTGATGTAATCTGGCACTGTCATTAAGATCACGGTCTAAGCAGGCCTGAAAACAAATCCCAAAATCCACATGAAATTCATGCTTAAATATGAGTGAGGTATGTTCAACGAGATTGGTTCCTCGAGTAACTGCTAATCTTTTATATCCTCTTTTATTTCCCGTTAAACCCTCCTGAGGAGGAATTGAATGGGAATTCGTAAAAGCGAAAAAAAAATCGTCAAGAAATAGTTCAAAAGTGTTCGAAGTAATTACGACTTGTATTAAAACCAGCGTTGACCCTTGTTAATCTCATCACTGAAGTTTGTTACGAAAGTATTTAGTTCAGTCTAGATCATAAAGCTTACCTCATTTCTGAGCCCTAAACAGCAGGCTTTTTTAGGAGTTTTCAAAAGATGACATCTTATAGGAGTGCGACCAATATACAAAGAACAAGGAGGAACTCCAGCCACATAACTAGGAGAAAAACATTCAAGTCAAATATGAAGCTTTCCAAATGTAATGCAATTTTTTTAATAATACCAATTGGAAGACAGGGTTTCTCCCTCTCCACAATTAGATATCACAGTCCAGCTTAGTCATTCCCTGATTACAGGAGCTTATTTGTCAACACCTTCCTTTCGGGATATGCATATTTAAAAAAAAAAAACAACAACAAACTCTACACAGGAAATTCATACCAGTACCATAATGGGAAACATATAATTGGCAATTTCATAAAGCTGTTATTCAATCTGTAGCTGTTTTATCATAGAAAAGTAATTTTACCCTTGAAAAAATTATGGACACTTGTGTGCAGTTTGGAAGTTGCCGGTAAAATTCTGACCCTTATGCTGATTCCTCCCACTATCTATTACCTGGGTATCCTACTGGTGTCATCCAGCAAACTAAATTCCTGTTCTTCGCGTCCTTCATCCTCGGAATCTGTTTCATTGAATACATACTCAGAATTTGATGATCGTCTTGAGTCTGCTATATCAAAAACAACTTCTTTGATTCCTCGTGATGGCTTAGTGGGAGAAGTTCCCTCCTCTAGTTTAACTGATGCTGAGGACGTCACTTGATCGCCAGAGCTGGTATGTCCAACACCATTAACTGGAGCCTCATCAAGATACTTAAGTCCTACTGGAGAAGAGTGGTAAGACTGTAGTTAAGTGTGGTAAAACTGTGGCCCTTACCATTGACTCAAACCACTGGTTGGAAATTTTATTCAGTAATATTTCATGGTCCAAGCTCACCCAAATTCAGCAGAAATATTAAGAAAAGTAACAATTACTTCAAAGAGAATACTAGGAACCATCTGATTACTCAAATGGAATTGCAGCATGTGTATATGTATGTTGGTTTAACAGTCTAAGAGATCACTGTGCCCCGTATGCAAAATCCCCATTTAAAAAAAGAGTTAAGCCTTTGAACGCATGACAGAGAAGACTCAAAGTTCTCTCAAGTTCACTCAAAAATCACTTTCACAACTCACGACCATAAATGGTCTTGAACACTGCTTTGTGTTTAGCGCAACAAGTAAAGGGCACCCATAATAGAAAGCATCCCACATGTGATTACCATAAGCGGTGCAATTTGGATTGTAACCCATGTTTGGGAAAATTGTCAACTGGGAAATACATTTAATGCTTTTTGGTTGAAACTTCCCTTTCTAAAAGAGATGCTTTGCTTCATTTTCACTCTTCAAAAACATGAAAAACAAAATTTAAATTAAGACTCAATGAGTGACTTTGATGCATGTAATATCCTATTTCCAGAAGACCTGATTGCTTATAGGTAAACCCTTAGACTCCCATGAGTGATCAAGGCAGAATTTCTCCTTTCAAGGCCAAGCAGACAAGAGATGAGAATAAAGAAAAAATCAACCCGAGTATTTTAGCTTGATCCTGTGCAAAATTCTCTAACTGAAATCATTAGGATTGTATGGCAGAGAGTAAGGAGAATTACTAACGAGATCTTGAGAGTATAAGGGACTAAAACATGAGCATGTATGTGACTTCTGAGCAATACCTGCTTCAAACGAGTCTGTATTAAGCTCAAGAGCCACAGAGCTTGCTGTGATAAATGAGTAATTTTTGTGCCGAAAACTTCCTTTAAATAAACCAACTGAGTTTTTGGGCTCTTTGTAGGCTTTAAATGCGGTGTCTTCTTCACTGGAGATGGCGATATAGAAACACCGATCCTCCTTACTCATGGTATGGGTTGGGCCTGGGTTTAACAGAATGCGGGAGCCTTTTCCACTTGAATGAACTGCAAAGAGCGTCACACCATACCTAAAGGAGTAAAGTTAGTGACACTAACGTGAAATACCACACAAGATAAAGGTTTCTGGCTGCAACTTCCTTCTCTTCTTCTGACCAACATCAATTTACTTAAAAAAGTCCACCTGTTTGGAAACCTCCACATTCATTCATTTTTTGAAACCCTAACATACGTTAGAATCTGTTTAAATTACCAACCCAAAATGTTCTCTAAAACACCTCTGTTTCAATTTATAATTATATAATAATTTGAGGATTACCAGTTCACAACAATCATGGAAAATCATTACTCACTTCTTGTGTGCATGAAAAGCAGCATGTGTAAATGACTTCTGTGCATATGGTTTGAAGATCTTACTGTCCTCCAGGCGGATGTCATAAATTTCATTTCCTGCACATTTACCATATATTTCATGCCAATCTTCTGATCCACTCCTAGTTGACAAAAAAAAATCAAAGGCAGAGTTAGTGATGTGTATCAATTCACTCAGTGGGTAGAAGAAACATGATGACTATGATGTTTAAAACTGCACACAGGCAATCAGAAACTCTGAAAATGGTCCTGAGTCAGTTTATTCAACACTTACCCTGCTGCTACCATTACAATGGTCAATTAAACAAATCTAACCAATAACATTGCAGCCATTTTCAATTTAGTGTTGAAGATTGTATTGGTTTTGCTCAACTTTGCTCTGTGATTGGTCCAGAAAACTCATGCCACTTTCTCAACCAATCAGATGCAAAACTAAAACCAATCACAACTTGGTCGCCCACATTTTCCCACATGTTAGGCAGTTAACTTTTTTTTTACTTTGAGTTCTCATTGGCTCTTAAGGGTATTTTCTTTTCTTCTGAACGGCCATTGTGATTTGCTTGGTTTTGTTTTCACGACATTCAATTGAAAAGTGCTCTGAAGGAGAAAAACAAGACCCTTTTCACAAAATTGAACTTTAAACTAAAACTTGAAATTAGGTGGAAGTCATTGCTTTTTTTCCCCTGAATCAGAATAGTCAGTTTTGTATGAGGGAATCTTGAACAGTGATCAAACTGCAATTAGCACAAAATGAAACATCAAAAACTATAATAAAAAAAACTCCTTCTCTTGAGGAGCTGAGTATTTCACATAACAGTAGTGTTTGGACACTTAGCAGTTTCCATTCAACAATTGAAGCATGAGCAAAAACTTATACACCAAAAATTACAGCTTTGCTGATTCCTTTCTGTAATGGTCATACAGCCCCTACACAACACCACTGTACTGAATAAATGTTAAAAAGCTTAACTTAAAATAGATAGCAATCTAACTTACTGTTCATGAAGGGTGTGAAGAAGCAGAGTGAAAAATGTGGAAATTCCTGGGCAAACACAATTACTAGCTAAGAGTGCATGTTTGACTTCATCTTCACAGACAACATGCTCTGAAAATGACCATAACACAATGGGATCAATTGAAAGAGTTGTCAACTGTAAAAAATTAGAAGTACTAGTGCGCTATCATGCATCCCAATGAATGCTGCATGTAATTGAACAAGTTTTTGTTGTATCTTCCAAAACATTGGGTGGTAAATTAATGCTTTAGCCCCTTTAACTCCCATGATCTCATTAGTAACTCTCCTTACTACCCAACATACAGTTCTTATGTTACTTTGGAGAATCTGATACTGGATCAACTAATATTCCCCTAGTTAATATTTATTCTCATTGCTTGTCTGCTTGATGTTGTATTGATATTGTAAGGAGAAATTCTGTCTTGATCACTCATGGAAGTTAAAGGGTCAGGTATTAAATAGCTCTACAAAAATTTGATTCAGTAACTAGCATTGTAGAGAGTTGAGTTACACAGTCATTGAAATTGAGGAGCTAGGTTTGCTCACCAAAAAAAAACTGCGATTTTACCTCAAATTGCCTTTTTCTTAGTAATTACGATTCTCACTAGTAATTGATCAAGTAAAGACTGTCTTCAAACAATGGCTTCAAATTAAATATTTGAAAGATGGGAACATCAATTCTCTAACCTGCAAAGCTGACATGAAACTTGTTCTCTGGCTTGAGGATCTGTACATACAATGGAGTATGTGGAGCAAAGTCCTGAATAGCCCATGTCCTCAAAATGGTGTGCTTGTCCTAAATGAGAACAGCTGTTTCATGCACAACATCCACATTAACTTTAAATAAATTCGACTGATAAATTATTTACAGGATTTCTTTCTTATTTAAGAAGAACCATTCATTAATTCCTTGGAAACTTCATGACTGAAAGACCAAAAAATTCTGCCAGAGGGACTCATCAGAATTTTAGATGTATATGTAAATTAGAAGAGAGTGACAGACAGTACAGGGGATAACCATCAAGAACTACTCATTCCAACTTACAGCAGCCTCCCTGTCAACTGCATATCTGTCAGTGAGGATGAAGCATCCACCAGCATCTTCAACCCTGACAATAAAGCACTAAATTGAATTAAACATCACAATATGGTATCAAAATAAGCCTGCCACGACTGAGTGGTTGCAACACTGAACTTGTGATAGGGTGACCCTGGGTCTATGCCCCCTACCAGTTGGATTGGATTATCAATCACCCTATATTCAACTCCTGGCATGTTGTACACAACTAAAATAATTTGTTTCATTTTTTTATCTTACCTGGCTCTTATAAGGTCTTCATCAATGAGTGCAGATCCTTTTAAGTAAGTGACTCTCTGGGACCATAGCGGCACTTGTAAAAGGATTCTAAGTGTGCTGTCGAGCTCTGATGGACAGAGTAAAACCACATGGGAATCCTATGAGATAACACAAAAGCTACAGAAAAGGCTTAAATGGCTCATTACTTGAAGTGCTTATCCCTGTTCCCATAGCTTTCTTGGCAGAACACCAGTCCATCACAAGTAAACCCCAGAGAAAATGAAAAGCCATCATTGTCATCTATGATTCTGGACTTGATATGTATCCAGGGACATGGCTTACAAAATTTATAGCTCAGTAATCAACATGGTAGCTTCATATGGATTACCTCTATTGCTCTTTCAAATATTTACCGTAATTTCCAACCGTTTACCCGCATGGCCGATTACCCGCACCGGCAGATTATTGCATGCAGCAAAAAAAAAAGTCAACAGATAACCCACACTGGTGGATAACCGGCACCTTAAAAACAAAGGAAATTTGTACAAATGTGCTCTACAATTCACAACGTTGCATACTTGACAGAATGGGAATTAGTGGCCACATTTTGTGCGAACGATCGTTCACCGCCATGTTGATTTCTCAAAAAAATCGATATCTCTGGTTCTACTGGGCCTAAAAAGTCCCTTACATGTAAAACGGTAAAATTCTCTTCAGCTGAAGCTAGTGTTAACTGGAAATTTGTTACTGATGCGCCGGTTATCCTTGGTTTATTTTTGTGACCATCAAGATTTCGTTTACACGAGTGCCGATAGTAATTGTTCGTCATGCAACTATTATTGTGCTTGAAATAAACTCGAGTCGGCATCATGTTTTCATGCCACTTTGTGGCACTCTTAATAGAATAAAATTCATTTGAGAGGTGGAAATGCAGGTAGGTGAGAATTTTCTTCAATTCAACCGCCAGTAGATTTCAAAATTGTCAAATAACCCACACCTCCCTATTACCCACAGAGGCGCGTATTTAAGGCCAAATCAACAGATTACCTGCGGGTAAATGGCCGGAAATTACAGTAGGCCCTGGTGTTTTTGTTTACTGTCAAGCATAAAACTTCGACTATAGAGAAAACTATTTGGACACAAAATCATTTTGTTTACACAAATTAGTATCCGGCATTTCACCCTACTCTATGCTTGTATCTTATTTCATTTGCCTGCAATTTCAGACCATTCAAAGAAAATGACATTATAAAATTAACAAAGAAAATGTACAAACCTGTAAGCTGGCATCAGCATAAAACTCATTCAAGAAGTCAATAAGCATAGTTGGCCGTAGTATTGTTGCACATAATACCACATGTTTTTCAGAACCAGCCAGCATGCGATTAAATGTACCACCCTCTTTCTGACGAGAGACTAGCAAGAAGGCCAGCTGCTCCAACTAAGAAAATAATTCAAAAATAAACTTATAACAATCATTATGCATTGATAAGGAGACCAAAACTTTTTATAGAGAACATTTTACATTTAAGGTCACCAAAAGGCGACCTATTGAAAAATTAAATTTGGAGCCCTAAAATGATTGTGTTCAAAGCCATAGGTATTCACCTCATCAGCAAGCCTTTCCATTGCTAAATATGGAAAAATCTTGTGAATATTTCAGCACAACTTTTTTTCACTATGCATCTGCTGTGAGTCTATTCCCCGACAGAAAAAAACTAACCATTCATCAGAGATTCTTTAATATGCAGTTTATCTTATGGACTCAATTGAGTTTCACACTGCATTAAGTTTAAATTTCTGTTGTTTTGTGAGAATTTTGATAAGATATGTGCCACACTCTCTGCTAATAAGATTCAAAGTACTACCAGTCGTGGTTTTGTTACCTGTGTTAAATTGTCCTACACTTAAAGAGTTTTCTTGTTCTCACTTGGAGTTTTTATCATCTTTTAGAGACATTTTCTTTTGTTCCTGATTGGCTGTTGTGAGTACAATGTGCTAATTGGTTCTGGTTTTGCAACACTTGACTACAATGCACTCCATCTGCTAGTCAATAGTCCATTTTACAGTTGTGTGCTTGGTTGCCAAGCCTTTGAATGGGAGTGAGGCTAGGGCTGACCTTGTTATGATACAAACCTTGCTGCCTTTCAAATGTAAATCACTTTCAGATACAATGAAATATATGAAGTTCATATGAAGTTTATTGTATCTGAATTATCACTTTCACGGGTTTATTACTAATCAACTTAACAGCCTGCTCCCAGTTGGCTTGTTAGCTCAATTGGTAGAGCGCTGCACTAGTATCGCAGAGGTCAGTGGTTCGAATCCCGTACAGGCCTGATTTTTTTCAGGTCTGATTTTCGCTATTGCTTAAATAGCGCTATCTACTGCGAGGATCGTGCATCATANTGGCTTTAAGAGCTATAATGCCAAAAAAGAAATCAACCAAGTACAATCTGAGGAAAGAGACAAGTCACCATCCTAAAATAAACACTGATAGGTTCAAAAACACGTTTGTTAATCGCTTAATTTTTAAACATAATCTAGTCTTATAATTTTTATCTTGATTTTCTCTGTAATTTATATATATACCTTCTTTTAATGTTGTAACATAGGATATGTGATTATTTATCTTATGACTTAATAAAGATTCAATTCGATTCAATTCAATAAAGATTCAATTGTATCTCATTTATCACTTTCATGGGTTTATTACGAATCAACTTAACGGCCTGCTCCCAGTTGGCTTGTTAGCTCAATTGGTAGAGCACTGCACTAGTATTGCAGAGGTCAGTGGTTCGAGTCCCGTACAGGCCTGATTTTTTTCAGGTCTGATTTTCGCTATTGCTTAAATAGCGCTATGTACTGCAAGGATCGTGCATCATACGTAAGTATGAAAATAGTTCAAATTTGGGCAGAATAACTTCAAATTTTTCTGAAAGATGGACAAAAACTTCAAACGTAAAATTTTTGACAGCCATGAAACATACATTGATAATACTTACAGATATTAAGAAAGGCATTCCTAACAAAACCTCTGCAATAAGGTGACTATTTACAATTTGACCAATGACTGAACCTCCCTGGAAATTAGGAAAAAGGTAAAAATGTCATAAAAAGTATTGCATGAAAAGTATGAAATCAAAAGCCTTTCAAATTAGGTGCATTAAAATAAGGAATTACTCCACTGTACCTTGAAGGTTAAGTAACTTAGTAAGATGGCTTCCAGCATACTGTAAACTGCAATGATTGTCTGCAAACCAAATAAAGAAAAAAACAAAAAACCACTAGACACAATTCTTTCTGTCTCACATTACCTAAAAGGTCAAAAAGTATGATGAGAACTTTCTTGATTAGGCATGGAAAGTACATTTTAAGACTGAACTGTTTAGAGTTTGCATCTTAACAAATGGCAATTAGGAAATTAACATTACAATAAGTAAATTTTTCACAACTGCTCTCTTGGCTTTCAGTTCTCCTTGACTCCTAGTGGTTTTCAAGGTCATTTGAATCAAAGCCTTTGAGCTAGAACTTGTAAATCAGCAATTTTCACATATCAATTAAGACCCCCTCATATCAGCCTGATCAATGCGGCTTGCTACAACCAATCAGGATCTCAATCTTCCCTCACAACTATTCCCTTAATGTTTAAATGTTTGATGTGTGTTTTAGTGGGATAGTGGTTTTATCCAGTAACTCTTTGCAACCTTTGGGAACAAGAATTTTTGGGTATGGGTGCTTCAGCCCCATGAACATGGTGAGATTTGACAGGACATGCCATCTTTTTCTCTGTAGTAACCCACCAAATATTCCCATAACAGAGTTTTAAGGCTGCAATATCAGCTTTTTAACAAGCACTCAATTGAAGAGAAAATATACTTTCTAGATAATTAAACTAACAGTAGAGCACCTTAATTATGAATGTCATATCACCAGACAGAAGAATGATATATCATATTATTATTATTATTACTATTATTATTACTATTACTATTATCATTATATTAAAAGACTGTTACTGGTTATTCACTTCAACACCTGTACCTGTAAAATCCATATCAAAGGTGGTCTGTCAACCCACAGCAATGACCACCAATATCTGTTGAGAGAGAACAAGTAAAAATGCTATAATGTGCCAAAGCCCCAGTAACAGACATCAGAAATTAGATGAATTTTAATTCTAGTTCGGCAAAAATTGAAAAATTTGAAAGTGTTGCAAAGTTAGCTTTCTGCTCACTAAACCATCACATAATTTCAAAAGAAAGTGTCCTAATCCATTAAAAGGCTGTTTTAATCAGTGACCAAACTCTCTTCCTAGGATGACTGTATTACCAGTAAAGGTTGCCAAAAGGTGACTTTTTCTTTTAAAGATTACCTTGGATCCCCCTTATTACTACACAGAATTCCCTTGCTGAGCTAATATTTTCAATTCAGACAACATGAAGAGTATTCTCCCGACTATCCCTTTCTAGCTCTATTTTCCTGCTACTAAATTCCATACCCAAAAGCCCTGATGTATTAAACTTGAGGAGGTTCTTTCTAAAGGAAAATAGAGCGTATAAAAACTTACTTCTCTCCAGGATATACAGGACAAGCCCACTCAGGGTTGGCAGTTCTATTATCTGGACAACCAGAACTGTTAATTGAGATCAAAGTCACAAAAAATAAAGTTAACCCCACAACTCCCAAGATCTGATTGTTAATTCTCCTCTCTATCTGCTACACACTTCCTTGAAAATTACAGATGAGAGTTTGGTATTAGATCAAGATAACAATTAACAGTTTTAAAATAATACACAAAATAAGTTTTGAGTATTTTCATTTCCTATTTGCAGGATAATGTACCAGTATAGATATTACAGGCAGAAGTTACATGTTGATAACTTCTGAGAGTAAATCATTATTATAGTATTTGTAGAAGTTAAGTCTTCAATGAAAACAACAATGCTTATAAAATAACAAAGATGCTACAGGTACCATAATTTCCAGCCATTTACCTGCAGGTAATCTGTTGATTTTGCCTAAACATGCACCACTGCGGGTTATAGGGAGATGCGGGTTATGTGACAATTTTGAAATCTACTGGTAGTTGAACTGAAAAAAATTCTCACCTATCTGCGTTTCCACCTCTCAAATGAATTTTACTGTATTAAGAGTGCTACAAAGCGGCACAAAAACATGATGCCAACTCGAGTTTATTTCAAGCACAATTAGTTGCACGACGAACAGATTTTTATCAGCACGCATGTACACAAAATCTTGATGGCGACAAAAATAATCTAAGGGTATCCAGGGCATCAGTAACAAATTTCCAGTAAACACTAGCTTGAGCTGAAGAGAATTTTCCCGTTTTAAGGGACTTGTTAAGCCCAGTAGAACTGGAGATATCGATTTTTTTGAGAAATCAACAATTCAACATGGCGTTGAACAATCGCTCGCACAAAATGTGGCCACGAATTCACATTCTGTCGAGAGTGAAACATTATGAATTCTAGAGCCTTTTTGTACAAATTTTCTCTGCTTTTAAGGTGCGGGTTTTCTACCAGTGCAGGTAATCTGTTGACTTTTTTTTTTTTTTCGCCATATGCAATAATCAGCCGGTGCAGGTAATCGACCGTGTGGGTAAACGGCCGGAAATTATGGTAACAGCACTGGTTATCAGGTGAGTTGAGATGTGAGCATGTTCACAACTAGTTTGTGACATTTTAAATTTGCATGTATTTGTATAAACCAAAACAGGCTTTTTTCCTCATTTCAACACTCCTCTAGAGACAAGGCCCCAGCTGTTTGAAGGATGGATAACACTATTGTAATGGAGGGCAAGTGGCTTTGAATACAGGCGAGTGCTCTACTCGAACGCTCCTTTAATTCATGCTCTCACTACTATATATCTACACTCGCTTCCCTAGCTCGCCTCATGCGTTAACATCCGGGCCCTAGCGTATGACCGTATTAGGTAACGACACTACATCTCTCCCCTCTTTGAAGCAAAAACCCGCCTGGCATGATATGCAACTTAAAAGGAAACAAAGCAAATTGAAACGACTTTCTAGCTGTTTCAAAGTCCTTAAGGCCTAACAGGATTGCAAAAGTGTTCAATGTTTCTAAGGCTTAAAGGAGTCCAAACACAACTCTAAACAAAGTCTTCAACAGTTCACATGCTGTCCGCTTTTCAGCCACAAACATAGTCGTCCAATTTGACTGGGCGTGTTCGCACACGCAGCGGATAGCATCTCGACGGTGGGACATCAGCCTGCATCGGTGCATCTGCGGCTTCAGGTGTAACATCAGGTGTAACGTCAACAAGATCCTTGCCGGTCTCTGTAGTAGCGTTTTCTTCTGCTGCCACAGGGACATTCTTGAAGAACGAAGAGTTCCTTGTCACCTGAACGCCATCATCATCTTGTGCAGTCACCATGGATCCCTTCTTCCCTACGATGATGTGCGGCCTGGGGTCATACGGCGTGTCACTTTTCTTCTTAGAGTCGTCTCTCTTGACAAACACTGTGTCACCTTCTTTGATGGTTGAAGGCTTTACATAACGCTTGTTGTCTGCGTGCTTCTTAATCTTAGCCTTTGCTGACCGGGGTGTTGTCAACTCAGGAAGTTTCATCTTCATCGGTCTTCCAAATAGTGCTGTTGCTGGAGCCACTCTCGTTGTACTGTGTGGTGTGGCGCGGTAGTTTCTTAGTAGCCTGTTCAGCTCCTGTTTGGGGTTCTTACATTCTAACTTCGCTGTCTTGATGACTTTCTTTACGGTGCACACAAATCGTTTGACTTCTCCATTTGTTCTGGCCCATTTTGGAGTGACTTTTTGATGCTTGAAGCCAAGGTCGTCTGCAAATGACGCGAATTCCTTGCAGTTGAACGGGGGACCATTGTTGGACTTGACTACGTCTGGAACTCCAAATTCCGAGAACAGTTTGTCTAGCTAAGGTATTACCATTGCTGCTGAGGTCAATTTTACTATCTCTACCACTGGGTATCTGGAGTAGTCGCCCGTAATCATAAGTAGGTACTCTTGATTCGGAAGGTTAGCAAAGTCCACAATGAGTTCTTTCCATGGAGCTGCTGGGAGTGGTGACATCTGTAGGGGTTCTCTCTTGCATTCAGGAGTAGTGATCAGGCACGCGCTGCATGACCTAACCTTGCTTTCCACCAGTTTGTCGATGTTCCAGAACCAGACTTTCTCATGCAATAGAGACTTGGTTTTTACGAGCCCTTGATGGCCTTCATGTGCTAGGTTAACCACGTGTTCCTGTAAACTCTTTGGGATAACTATGCGGGTTCCATGCAGGATGAGGTTGCCTGATGCACTTACCGCTAGCTCGTCCTTCACTCTTTCTAGGAGTCGAAACTCGGTAAGGTTGACACCAGGGCGTTTGACTACAAGGTGCCAGTTGCCTTTCATGATAGCCTCGGCTATGCCTTGAAGGGTGGCATCAGCTTGAGTAGCTGCTTCAATGTCTTGTGTCTTCAAAGCTTTGGGAGTCGAAGTAGTCGCTAGGTAATTGATGTACTCCTCTGCTATCTTCTGCTGATGGGTCGTTTGGGCTGCATTCTTTGCCGGGTGCCGTGACAAGTAGTCTGCCGGGTTTGTTTCACCTCTACTATACTTGACTGTGATCTGATATGGCTGAAGTCTTAGTGCCCATCTTTCAATTCGTGCGGAAGGCTTAGAACTTGGATTGTCATAGATGGTCACCAGGGGTTTGTGGTCTGTGTAGACTGTAATAGGCTTCCCATAGACATACAAGTGTAAGTCCTCACAAGCCCAAACCACGGCAAGGGCCTCCCGTTCTGTTTGGCTGTACCGCTGTTCGGTTGCTGTAAGGGAACGACTTGCATAGGTGACCACATGTCTTTCTTCGGTCTTCTGGTCAACTTGTGAGAGAATGGCAGCTAAGCCTACTGGACTGGCATCAAGCGAGATTTCTGTTTCCTTTTCCGGATCGAAATAGGCAGTGACGGGTGTGCTGGATAGTGCTTCTCTCAGCTGGTTAACTGCCCAGTCGTGCTCTGTTGTCCAACACCACGGTTGGTCCTTGTGGGTCAGCTTGCGTAGGGGCTCAGTTTTAGTGGCATAATCTGGGATGAATCTTGAACAGTAATTTGTCATCCCCAGCAGGCTGCGAACCTCTGATGCTGTGGATGGTGTCGAAAGATTGACCACTTCTTCAACTTTCTTCGGGTCTGATGCTATGCTGTCTTTAGAGAACACGTACCCAAAGAATTCCAACTTGTCTTTGCTGTACTCACCCTTGCTCTTGTTGAGGGTCAGGCCTTTCTCTCTTAAATGCTGGAAGACAGCCCTTAGGTTCTGATCATGTTCTTCATGTGACTTGCCAAAGACCAGGATGTCATCACTGATGTTTTTCGCACAATCAATGCCTTCCAGAGTCTCTCAGATCACATTTTGGAAGATTTCAGCTGCACTTGATATTCCAAAGTTGAGACACTTGTAGCGCATTAAGCCCATGTGGGTACCAAAGGTGGTGATGTATCGAGACTCCAGTGCCAATTCGAGCTGGTTGTAACCCTGGTTAAGATCTAGATTGGTAAAGACCTTAACTCCATTCAAGTCTCCAATCATCTCTTTGATAGTGGGTGTGACGTGATGCTCACGTCTTATCACCTTGTTTGCCTGGCGCATATCCACACACACGCATACCTTGCCTGGAGATTTTGGCTTCGGAGCAACCACTATAGGAGACACCCAGGGTGTGGGGCCTTCAATATGTTCAATCACACCTAACTCTTCATGGTGTTGTAGCTGCTCTTCTAACTGCTTACCCACATGGAAGGAGACTCTTCTGTGAGGTTGTCCAACAGGTGGTACATTTTCGTCGATGTGCAGCTTTATCTGATAGTTCTTGAGCTTGCCTAGTCCATGGAACAGGTCATCGTATTCCTCAATCAGATTTTCGGGCGCATTTGTTCTTGCTTTTGACAGTTGGCCTCTGATTTGCTGAACAGTTTGAAGTAGGTTAAGCCCTTGTGAAGCCCTCCAGCTTAGCAGGGAGCCACCAGATCCTATTATAACATATAACCTGTCACTAAGCTTCTTTGTTTCTGACTCGAGTGCGGTGGTGAATTTTCCAAGGACACGAAAGGGGGCCTTTGATTGATAGCCATATATCTTTACGTTGCTTGGCTCGAGGTTAAGGCGGTTGGGTAGCCTGCGGTACTCCTTCTCATCCAGAATGTTAATTCTTGCTCCAGAGTCTGCCATCATTGTCACAGGTGTGCCACACACTTAAATCTTAAAGAAGGGTTGATCTTTCAATGCCTTTGTGCCTAGAGAGAAGGTGTATACTTCCTCTTCCTCGCTCGACTCTTCTTCACCAACTTTGTGTAAGGTGGAACGGCGTGTGTTCCTTGATTCACCTTTGTCCTTGGATTGGCATACGGCCTCAAAGTGGTTCAATTTTCCACAGCCTCGGCAGGTGGCCTGAGAGGCAGGGCAGGATGTTTTTCCTCCACGATGGGGGTAATTACCACCACAATTACGGCATTTTGGGCTTGATTTCTGGTCTTCATGACCACCGTTGCGTGATTTCCGGTCACGTGATTTCTTCTCGGTTTGACATCCGCCATCTTTGTTTGATTTCCGATCCCTTCGTCTTCAATTCCCATGACGTGAAGACAAATTGTTGACCGATTGATTCTCCTCAATCTTAGCAGCTTGTGTTTTGGAAAGTTCCATGGCCCTTGCAGCATCCAGCAGTAGTGTTAGGGTGTACCTTGGATTCTCTAGTGCTTTCGTATGCAGCTTGTGAGAACTGCAGCTTTGAACTATTTGGATTTTGATCTCACGATCTACATCATCAAATTCCCAAGTAGCAGCCAACTGTCTCAGCCTGGTGTGAAATGCTGAGATGGTTTCATTCCTTTCTTGCTTGGCTTGACGAAAAACATAAATTTCATACTGACGGTTTTGTTTGGGAGTGAAATAAATCGTCAAGGCTTGCATGGCTTTTTCAAGCGGATCATCGTCTTCTCCCACTGTCGTGTTGGGGAGCGTGTCAAAAATCTCATTCGTCGCTGCGCCAGCATAGTGGAGTAGAAGAGCTCATTGTCTTCGCTTATTCGTCACGTTCATTGCGACCAGTAGGTTGCGGAATCTCGAGAGCCATTTCTTCCATCGTGTAGCTTGTGTGCTCGTTTCAGAGACATCAAACTTGGGAAATGCGGGTAGCGCTGTGGCCATGTCTCTCACACGTCTTTGGTATGAAGATCGTCTAGAATCATATGCTGTGTTGGGCCCTGAATCCTCGTTGCCAATGTAATGGAGGGCAAGTGGCTTTGAATACAGGCAAGTGCTCTACTCGAATGCTCCTTTAATTCATGCTCTCACTACTATATATCTACACTCGCTTCCCTAGCTCGCCTCATGCGTTAACATCCGGGCCCTAGCGTATGACCGTATTAGGTAACGACACTACANAGAGTGCTACAAAGCGGCACAAAAACATGATGCCAACTCGAGTTTATTTCAAGCACAATTAGTTGCACGACGAACAGATTTTTATCAGCACGCATGTACACAAAATCTTGATGGCGACAAAAATAATCTAAGGGTATCCAGGGCATCAGTAACAAATTTCCAGTAAACACTAGCTTGAGCTGAAGAGAATTTTCCCGTTTTAAGGGACTTGTTAAGCCCAGTAGAACTGGAGATATCGATTTTTTTGAGAAATCAACAATTCAACATGGCGTTGAACAATCGCTCGCACAAAATGTGGCCACGAATTCACATTCTGTCGAGAGTGAAACATTATGAATTTTAGAGCCTTTTTGTACAAATTTTCTCTGCTTTTAAGGTGCGGGTTTTCTACCAGTGCAGGTAATCTGTTGACTTTTTTTTTTTTTCGCCATATGCAATAATCAACCGATGCAGGTAATCGACCGTGTGGGTAAACGGCCGGAAATTATGGTAACAGCACTGGTTATCAGGTGAGTTGAGATGTGAGCATGTTCACAACTAGTTTGTGACATTTTAAATTTGCATGTATTTGTATAAACCAAAACAGGCTTTTTTCCTCATTTCAACACTCCTCTAGAGACAAGGCCCCAGCTGTTTGAAGGATGGATAACACTATTGTAATGGAGGGCAAGTGGCTTTGAATACAGGCGAGTGCTCTACTCGAATGCTCCTTTAATTCATGCTCTCACTACTATATATCTACACTCGCTTCCCTAGCTCGCCTCATGCGTTAACATCCGGGCCCTAGCGTATGACCATATTATGTAACGACACTACAACTATATCCACCAGATAAATTTCTATCCCATGGACAGTGTGCTTTGTTTTGTTGACAATTATCCACTAGATACTGATTTATCTGCCACATAGTGTTTTAGGCCCTTTAAACAACTAGGCCTAGCACCTTGAACAAAGATCGCACAGTCAAGTTATTTATTCACAAATGAGGATACTTAATGTTCGATACTTAATACTAATGAATGGCCATATAAACCTACCCGCCAGCACGCTTTGGGTCTACATCATAGACGCTCCGGATCACATACAATACACATGACACTATCTTTAGAGTGAAGCGAAGTATTTGCCATCTTATACCTAGACAAATAATTGATCACAGCTGTTATTAAAGGGATAAATTTTAAGAGCACATATCAAACAAAAGAGGTTGATAAAACAAGGTATTCTTTTCATTCTTAATTTACCTGTGTTGTTAACCATCGGTGGATCACTAAAACTTATGAAATGTTTTAAAATAATTTCTCTGTAGAATAAGTGTCAATTTACCTTCAGTTTACATGAATTAACATATTTAAGGTTCATACAATTCTCACATAATTCAGTTTATTAATATTTAATCCTGTTTTAATCGAGGTAGGTTTGGTTGCTGATGAAGATATTTGGTCACATGAGAAGTGGTCCTGATGAGAAGACTTTTTTGTTTCACTTCATTATAAAGATAACACCAGTAAAAAATTGACTGGTAACAGAGATTTTTAAGGTACTTTTATCAATATCAAATTACACAACTGATTTAGGAATCAATGTACATGCTGGGTGAAAATAATCAGTTTAACCAGAGCATAAATTTTCAAAATTGACACAATTAACTGTCATAAGAAACTACCAAATTAAATTAATCTTAGTTTTGATGCATGTGTTAATAACAGTGATTTTAATTTCTAATTATTAATATCACTTACTAGATCTTTGATTAGTTACAAAATAGAATTTAACTCTTTCTTTAAATGACTTGTCATGGACATAGTGCTCAACACGCACCCTGTGAAATCAAAAAGTTATTAGAGAAATTTTGACATTTTTAAGAATTAAAGCATATAACTTAACCGTTAAAATCACAAGATTTGATTGTTAATTTTTCTCTTTGGCTACTATACATCTACATGTAAATTAGTTACAAGAATTTGGTGTAAGATCAAGATGACAATGCCTACCTGATAAGTTTGAATACTCTCATTACCTGTTTTCTGAATTATGAATGGATTTCATTGCAGGGAGAAGTTACATGTACATTAAAAGTTCACTGCTTATGGTAGTTTAAGGGTTAATATTAAACTGGGTGAAAATTATAGCTTCTAAGCATTATACTTGACTGAAAAGACAATATATGCCATAAAAAGACATTTATAAAAGGTTGACAAGTATGAGAAATACTTAAAAATCCATTAAAATGTATACAATACTTGATATCTAAGTCTAGCCTTCTTATTGTCATTGAAAACAGTTTTGAACAGAGAAATCAATAAAAGGGGATAGTGTTTCCGGCCCTAAAATTTATTCAAACCAGCACACCCAGGAATAAAATATCTCAAAGCTCAATATTGACAGAGGTAAGAATATTGTGACATTATTTGTGGTTGAATTAACAGTGACTCAAGATCAATGTCCATGATTATTAATTGAGCTGGGAAAACCTACATCCACCATCTAGAGAAACTGTCAAATAAATTTTTGTAATGTAACTGCAATTTTCCTCTCATCCACGAGAAAAAACTGGCTCACTTAAATTTTCACAAGCTTGCATAGCCAAATGAGAAAAAAAAAATTAAACAAATATCAAAGGATAATACTTTGAATTCACAATTCATTCCATAAAGGAAAGCAACTTTGTGTCTATACTTTACACTAAAAATGCAAACGTTCTTGGATATTTCAAGAATAAATAATAATCGGAAATTTTACTGGCCAAATAAAAGGGCACCTTTACTTTCAACAGTCTGATCCACTTTGAGATTACATTCAGTAATATATTCAGAAGATTAGGCAGCCTTACCTCAAAGAGATTTTTAAAGACTACAATAGCAAAGAAGTTAATGAGATCAATTGTTTTGGGGAAAACGGCATTAACCCAGCTGCAGTTCTCTAAAAGTTTTTGTATCACAAAATAAATCTACATGAAGAAACAAACAAATACCGAATACGCATATCCAATTTTAATAACAAGTATCGTTTTTATTTTAACATTTATTTAAATATTTTTCTTTCCAGGGAGAACTCCATGAATAAACGAAATATCTTAGTTCGGTGATATAAAAGCGACAGCTTGTTTTTCGTTTCGGTCACGGCAAGAGGTTAACCAAAAGAAAAATCCTCTTCCGAAAGGTACTTGCCACAAGGAGTTAACGTTGACTTGGGAGATAAACATTACAGTACATGTTTATTTGAACGCGAGAGAATATAAAAAAAAAATTATTGGATTTTATAATAAGCAAGTAGGATACGCCTTTAATAATATAAAGTCAAGATTATGAGTCAAGACAGCTTCTAAATAACTCTAAACTATATACCCGCCACACTTCTTCGGTATTTTACCACGCAACCATGCATACATAACTAAAATTCAAATCATTTTGATCCTGTTTTTTGCTTTCCTTCCAATAGTTTTCGTTCATTGTAATCAACAAATAAGGAAACCTGGTCGAATGGTTAATTCAAGGTAGCTTACTTTGGCAGATAAGAAATCAGCGGTGAAAGGACCAGGATACTTTACATCGATCAAAACAAATCAACATTGCGTAAATCTCATATCAAGAAAAGAAAAATTTTCCTACCTTTCCTTGTCTTCACCTTTATCTGACGAAAGGAGATCTCTCAGACGGTACCTAGGGCCAAGAAGATCAGGTTCATTCATAACAGTTGTGGTAGGAACCGATTTGGTGTACTTTACTTTAGTCTGTATCCTAACTTTCTTTACACTGGTCGCCATATTTTTTTTTCTACGACTACTTTGTAGTCATGCGCAATTAATCTGTTCACGTTATTTCGCGGGAAAATTTTTAGGAAATAAGAAACCGTAAATTCCTCTCTACTCCTTCTAAAACAGAAGCCAGAAACTCCTCAAGTTTTTATCGCATCTGGTAATGCGGCAGACATCATTACTTATCTACAGCTCTCGTCAACATTTCCGAAGATTCATGAATTATTTAGATCGCCACCGTCCACCACAAGTGTCAACATCAAATTTTTGGACCCGCTGGCAACCGTCGATCTGGAAGGCGACTTGAGAATAATCCATGAAAAGATTCTGTTGCTTTTATTATCATTATCATTTTGTTAGCAGCTCCCGAAAGGCAGCTGCTACATTTAGTTGTTTCTGAAGACTCTGTGATTTTTACACGATTTCAGACCTTTTTCCTCGATTAAGAAAATCACCTTTTTAAAAAAAAAGTAGGTTCTGAATGACTCACATGTAGGAATCCTGTGGCTAATCAAGAAAAACTAAAACAGTCATTATTTGCTTACTTGATCACACTGTTGTAATACTGCTATAATAGAAGCCTATTCAAAATAGCCTTCGTTAATAAACTCGCTGTGTAAAATGAGATATAAAATGGTCTTTGCTCGAAAAACATTCGATCGCGTGACGACCTTCAATGATGAACAAATTGAAAAATCAATGGTAGATCTGAAAGCTAGAAAATATTTCACGCTGAGCTTAAAGAAAAGCCGCAATAAAGCAAATTTACTCGGGATCGACGAACAGATAAGACTTAGAAAAGTGGTTTATTTTAGCTTTACTAAACCCTATCGAGGAAAGATTACTTCTAAAAAGAAGATGTGTCTTTTTAAGGCGGGGCGGAGGAGATGAATAAGTTGTTTTGTTACGAGATCTGACCAACAAAATTAACCCAGCTGGAGTCAAGAGGCGGCTGCGTTTCGGAAAAATCGCCATTGCCTCTTCCTCTAGTGGGTCCTTTTGAAAATTCACCTTAAATTTGAGAGGACCCCGAAAAAAGTTATGATTCTCATTTTTTTTATTACATGAAGTGACAAGTTTCCGGAAAATCTCAGATGAAAAAGTTTTCTTTTCTTTGCATCTATTCAGAATCATCGCGATGTTTTTTCAAAGCCTGGTGTTAATTTCGCCAAACAAAAGTTCATTGAAAACATCTGCAGGAAGAAATCAAATAGGCAAAGCGTGCAAAAGAAAGATCTGGAACCACGCCGGTCTTCCACTCTACCATCCTTATTATCTTCGTTGGATAACCTTAAAAAATTGCTTATTTTTGGGGTTGAACATAACAAAAATATGGCTCTTACAAAGTTAGCGTCGAATTTCATATGCAGTCAGTTCCCTTTTGTCAAGGATTTTTCTTTTATCGTTTTTTTCCCTTTTTTTTTTTCTTGTTTAATTGTACAGAACTTTATTGACGGCTTGACTCTCTGACGAAGAGATGTTTTGCTTTATAATCAAAGTACAAAACAATATTACGAGAAACTGCCTAGTACCCAATAAAGAAAACAATAATTGCCCATTTGCAAGAAACACCAAGAAACAAAGGTAAGGAAAATTCCTATGAAGCTCTAAGAAATAACTCATTGCGGGAGTTACACAGGCTCATTAAGATATTTTTTTACAAGCCTCGGAAGTGTCAACCTCGTTTTCCATCGGTTATCAATAGGTCTTGCCGTCTTGCAACAAAGACCTTTCGCCACCCCTTCGCTCTCGTCAAAGATAACCCTGGAGGCAAAAAGCTTTAATGTATTTTCGTGATCTGAAAATATTTTGAAGCTGCAATAACTTTACCGAAAACGTGTGCATGACATTTCAGATTCATAGATCTCGGCAAACAAGATTGTGAATACGAGTAAAATTAGTAGTTTATTTCTTCTCATTTTAATCTTTCTTCCTCGCCATCAGCGACATAATTACACTAGCCCTCCAGCTTTTTTAGACTGACCAAAAAATGAATAACGTTATTGAGGCTGACAAGCTAGCAGATCTACTTCTATGGTAAGCTTACACGTTGGAAGCCGAAGAAATTATTATGAAATTCTCTTTTCTCTTCTTTAGCGTGACTGTAAATTTCTCACATTATCATGTATTAAAAGAAAGGTTTTATCTTGTTGAGAAAAAGAAAAACTAGGCGACCGCTAAAGTTGCAAAAGCAGCAGGGGCTATTCTCAGTAAATAATGCTTTATTATATCAACCGGCTTTTCATTTCAATTATCACAGTTGGACGGTTGCTAAGAATCAGTCAAATCAATAAGCTGAATATTTTCTATCTTAGAATTCACAGCTTTCTGACACAGAAATGCAAAACTTTTACTGAATATTAAAGTCAGATTTTAAGCATCTATCTAAAACGTCGCATGCAGCACGCAAAACTTAATTTCAACACCAAATTTGAAAATTTGGCTGCAAAAACTATTTGCTTAATAAGTGACCGAAAAATTGCTGGTCCAGGTAATCAATTTTGGTCACAAGTATTACCGATCATAGCATTTTTTAACTTTTCTCAGGGCAACCAATACATTCTCCACATCAACATAAACATTGTGTAACCTCCTACGGCCTATGGGTTTGAGTCGTCACAAATATTAGCCCTTCAAACTTTGTTTTCAAATTGATCAACATATAAAGTTTTTTGCTTAGTCTTGAGAGATTCGCATGTAGTGAGAATTGCATCATTCATAATTTTGAGTCTTGGCCGTAAAAGCAATTTCCTTTCAAGTTTAGGCGTATGAAAGCAACCGAGTTATTATAGATAGCTTGAGTTTTGAACTAAAACAGGTGCAAGGAAGGTAGCTTAATGTCAGTTAACTCAGTTGTAGAATTGTGGTTTTACTTTCGGCTAATTTTAATTGTTGCCTTTCTATATTTATGTTCGCCGTTCTAATAACTCATCTTAGTTGATGAAAGTAAACAAAATACAGCTCCGAAATTTTGTAAAAGATCAAAGAGGAAAACACCGGGAAAAAAATTATCTTAGAATACCAGGTTCTGTGATATTCTTGTTGTGAAAAGGACAACTGCGACAAAGGTTACTTTGTTTGGCAGAACTTCGAAAGATCATTCCCCGTTGAAAGCATTTGTTGACTATGTTAATTTTGTGAAAACATTTAAGTCATTATCAAATGCAAACCAATTTCAATAATAGCTTGGCATTGCTAGGGTTTTTTCTTTTCTCGTCTTTAACGAGTAAAATGCTAAACCGAAAGGAAGATAATCCTGTCTTTTAAAAAAAGATGATCATTTCATGTTTAATTTACGGTCTCCTCAGAAGCTCCTTTGTATGGTGTTATATCTTGGCATTTGTCGCAATAAATTTTCTTCTCACGTCAATAAAACGCACACGGGAGATCTATCATTTGAAAATTTAGAAGCTAAGAGCGCTTTGGGCATTGGTAAAAATATGATGTTGTCAGTTGGAATTCTAGTTTATGACGATAAAGACGAAAGAAGTAACAACTAAGTTGCAAGGTGGCAATTTATGATGTTATGCGCAGTCATTTGATATGTTGTTTATGGCGAACAAGTGTTGTAATGTATTCACCAGTTAATCCCGAACATCATAAGATGTGACCGAAAAAAAATTTCAGATGGAATTTTGGGTCAAAAATTACATGCAAGAGTGACCAGATGAAAAAAGTGTCGCGTTACTGCGAGACAAATGAATAATAAAATAAGATTTCGTCGTGTCTTTTTCTTATCTCTTAATCCCTTGCTAAGCCCCTCTCTGAAAACTGCCAGAATGTTGAGGTGAAGCGGTGATATTTTGAAGCGGAATCAAACCAACTCACCGCTCGCTTGTTTTCAAAGAAAAGATTCCTGTGTTAAGTGAGAGTCAAGGTATGGCCGGAATATTGTTATGGATCCTGTTTTCATGCGAAGTACAATGCATGTTACCGATGTTACAAAAACAGCAATTCGCGTACGTAGCATCCACCATCGATCTATATACATGCTTTGCATATAATCAAAATATGGATGTTGCGCCGATATACTATGGTACCTTGGATAGTTTGAGGAACCGAGATGAGGAGGCGGGAGTAAAACAGGAACACCATCAGAACTTTGGAGATTTGGTATGTTTCCGTTTGCCATCTTTAAAATTTGGTTAATCTACAAAAATAGGGAGACTTCCCAGGTAGCATATATTATTGATTAATGCACAGTCAAGATGGCATTCGAAGGTTTTCCAGCGGTTGTGACGCTTCCTTTTGTCAATTCAACCAATTAGAGTACAAGGGAATAAACGATAAAGCAGGTGATTGTTTTCTTTTCTTTCTCTTTAGAATAGATCATACACACGTCGCAATTTTTAATCATGCCTGAAAATGGAGTTTGCTTGGAAATTAATATCTGTCTGAGTTGATTTTCGATAGTAAGATTTTTTTTTTCGCAGATGGAACGTTAACGCTACCGATTCACCGATTGCCACCAATATTTTTTCCTTTCAATCCCTGACATCTTTATGATCGTTGCGATTAGGGCAACATAACAAACTTCCGCGATGTTAGCGGTCGTGGTGACAATCGTATCAATTCAAGAAAGAAACCAGCCCGAGGGTTTTTACAGAAAAAAAAAAAAAATGAAATTTCTTTGAGTTGCAAATGTTAATTCCTCTCTTTTCCTCGCTCAATTTACAGTCCGTAACAATGGAGCGACTAAATCCTTGAGTTGAGACAAGTGAATATCCTGAATCCCTCGTAAATCGTTTATAGCTTTGCTTATTGACGAAGGTGTTGCTAATCGTTTTTACAATGAGACAGGTCTAGGGAGGATTATGTATGAAAATTATCATTCTCATCTTTGATCGACTACAACGGTGATATCTCCATTCCAGGTAGAAATGCATTAGACAGCGAAACAATAAGTGATTGTGTCTTTCGGCGACTACTACATGCTGCAATGATAGAGACAAATTACCACCTTTGAATATCTCAAAATCAATTCCGATAAGCGTTGAAAAGCTTTTAAAAAGGGTGCCGGGAATATTTGGATCATCTTGCAGAACCAATGGGCTTGCTTGTGTAGACCAAACGTACAAAATGTTTTAAAGATTGAAGAAGTCATTATTTCTAGGCCGCCAAGACTGTATATATTGACATATTTTATGAAATAAATATCTAATAATTCTTTGCAGCCAAGAATCAAATGATTGCTTATAGCAGAGGTATTATCACATTACTCATACGCTGTAAACAACTAAGTATATTGAAATATTCTATGAAATATTCTGTAGAATAGATATTTTAAAATTCTTTAAGGCAGAGGATCAAATGATCGCTAATATAAAGGGAATTATAGCACTGTATCGGATTAATAATATGCTCTCAACAACTGTAACCGATAGATCGTCCAGAGTGGATGTCGAAGAGTGGAGTAGTGAGTGACCTTGTAAGCTCCAGGTAACTGGAGTCTGAAGATTCGGAACGTTCCCATTCTCCTCAGATTTGACATTTGATTGACGCCCTTGAAACAGTGAAAAACAAGAGTTTAGGAGTTGTGAGCAGAAGCGGAAGAACTTGCCAGCCGGTCGCTGTGGAGGTTTTAAAGCCTTATGAGTGCATATTGTAACTGCCAAAAGGCGTGTCCTTTCGTGGCCGCTTACAGCAATGATTTCAAACGCTCGATAGAGGATGAGGTTTGAACTAATAAAGAACCAACAAAAATACAAGTTTACAAAATGCAGAAATATAAAACTGAAAGGCGGCTAAAGCGAACGCGATGAACATAATAACCAGGAACTTACATTGTATCGGCGCTCTAGGCCGCGAAAAAAGGGCAACTAAACCAGATGTTCTCTCGGTGAAATCAACGATGAAACTAAAAGGCTAGAATATTACAACATGTAAATTATAGCGAACGCGGGAAAGAAAAACAAAACGTATTCCCGAGGGAATGCTAATAAACTGAAATAGAATGCAAAGAATGCTAAATTCTACACATATGGCTTCAACAATTTAATTTAAACATGATCATACGTGACGGAGTTATAAAAGAATTCTTCCCAAACTATCAATTTTGCTCTTCAACGGGTTTAGTTACTCTGCACTTCTGATATTATGACTTTGACTCCGAGTCCACCGTCAGAGAAAACCAGCCTTCATTATCTTCAAACAGGAGGCTTTCGGCACTGCTAATATTGGCCAAGAGAGGTTTGGTTTTATAAGGGATACTCGTCTGTTATGGACCTAGAATCAGGATCAGCTGGACAATCTGAAAAAGCTTCTCGTTTCAGAGTTCCTCGTTAGTTGCTGATTACGCGGACATTTTGTGGGAACTCGGGATCAACAACTCGAAAAGATTAAAAAATGGAGGAACAGAAATGCACGTAAACGGTCGGAAACTTTGATCGATCTCGTCCCGAAACCCTCGGGAGTACAGCTACGACACACTACCTTTCGTGGAGTCGTGTAATAAGGCACGAAATGCATCGTTTAACGCGGCCGGTATTGGGGTTCCTTTTAACTTTTGCTCGGTAATCGGACGTAATCACGACTAACTTTGTTCTCGCACACCGGCTGCACTGGACCAAACGAATATCAACCGTTGATATTCTCTTGACTGGATGTAAACTGCAGCTCTTTAGAGAGCCTCCACGAATGTGTTCCTCTGTACAGTGCCTCCACGAAAGTGCTCCTCTGAGGTCCCCTGAACTTTTGTTCTTTAGGAGGATGTCAAATGTGTTTTGTTTCAGAAATGAATCAGTGTGCGGTGATCGATAGGATTCACAAGATTATGAAAACAAAGGAGTAGAGTTTCTTTTAATTTATGGGGCAAAAAAAAAAAAACGGGCTCCACGAAGCAGTGGTCTATTGAAGTAGTTTTGGGGGTTCTGACTAAAAGTCAATTTTGCCTTCTAACAAGCAGAGCCCAACACAAAAATTCACAGAGTGGTGTGAAATTTATTTTTCGGTCCAGTCAAAACAGTGGCACATGGGCATTCAGAAAAAAAAAAAATCGAATAAATTAAGTTTTTAGAAAAAGGAAAGTCAAGTCTCTTTTACAGCAGTTGTAATATTCAATACGGTGACGTGTCCATATGAAATCTGGCTCAGCTTACGGCAAAGAAAAAGTTTAAAACTTTTCAGGAAGCTGTCTACATCTTCTACGGTTCGCAAGTAAAACACGAATTTACAAAAGCATAAGCAAACCCGCCGCAAATAATCAAACTTTTTGTAACAAATGGAGATAATGCTGATTAACTTTATTACTATATTTACTCGTGCCGTTTGTGACTGATTGTTTCAGAATTTTAACATAACCAAAGTAAAGCGCGCGCTCTGATTGGTCAAATTGGCGTCCCCCATTTGCCCATGGGTGTACGCTGCTGACGTGAGCAAATGCAAAGACTATTTTTGCGCGCGCGCTTGTTTTTTTCTGGTAACGTAAGATTTGTTAAATAAAAGGGAACTCTGGCTACAGTGTGTTAATGTTATATTATAAAACAAATGGTAAACACCACAGCGTACACTATTGAGTTATGGATGCACTTGGGAGGTTTGCTAAGCACTCAAGAAGCTAGAGTCGCTCTCGGCTATCGCCTCGAGCGACTCTTACGCTTCTTTCGTGCTTAGCAACCTCCCGCGTGCATCCATAACTCAATAGTGTACGGTGTGGTGTTTACCATTTGTTAAATAGAGACCAAAAACGGAACTATTTATTTCAGTTGCAAGCTGTATTCGTCTGTATGCGACAGAACCCCCTTAAACAGTTCAGTATAAGACCGCATAAGTACATAAGACCGATAATCTGCAACCGAATAATAATGGCAATAAAAATAATCAAATACATATTTCATCGGTAGGGAAACAAAATAAACATTTAGACATGAGGTGAAAAAAGTTTCTAAAATTGTTTGAACTCCTAAACTGATCCCTTCTTTGACTAAAATTAAAATTAATATTTAAACTATCGCCTGCTGCAAATTTCAATTAAGTCAACTTGAGATAATGTGAAGTCTTGCCACCCAAAATAAACATGTTTTCAAAAATAATTAATCAAAGAGGCACAACTGGTTAACTCACTGTAAAACAGTGTCAATACCAATAAAACTTTCTACCGCGGCCGAACAGTCGTGGCCTTCTTTCAAGCGATTGTATTCACTTGAGAACAAGTCATTATTCACAAGTTATTATGCATATTGTCAGTTTTCTGTTGTGACTGGCGTCTTACTGTTCTGAATTTGAATTTTGCACTCAGGATAATTTTCTTGGTGTCCTCGGTCACTGTGATTAAAATCAAATAATTTTTGTCGCTGAATACAACATCAGAAAAGTCAAATTTGATGAAAATACAAAATAAAAGGTGGGATAAATAGTAAATCTCAATTTGAATGATAACTGCGCCCTCTGTTATTTAAAAGGTCGTCAATCGGGTCGCTACATTCGCATTTCCAAGACATGCTATCTCGCCCGCCGTTCGCAGCTCTGCCAGGAAGATCTGAGCAAGGGATGTTTTCTCCGGCGTTGCTAGCAGGACACATCACGATGGAATAGTTTGTAGTATTTTTTTTTTTTATCATTCACAACCGTGCAAATCGGTGAAACCGCGCATCTCACAACTGTCTTCTAGAATAACATTCAAATTTATATGGAAGGGCTCGTAACGAGTTCTTTTGAATTCATTTGCATAAAAAGGATTTAGCATAAAATTTTGGAGATTTACCTAAGCAAAAATAATCGAGGGACATTTTGGCTAAGTGAACGATATACCCGGACTAAACATTTTGCTGCTATCAGAAATTCAAGAGCGCCGGCTTAAATTTCACGAAATAATAAATGAAAAAATCAAGAGTGCGACAGCACCAAGAGTAAATCGTGCATCGTGCGACGATCACGGAAAGATAGCTAACTTATACAGGTTATAATGCTGTATTAACGCCCGTGTAAGACATGTTAGCAATAAAAAATGGAGCTAAAGGATGAAGTATGGACCGATCCAAAGCATAATGCCGATGCTTTTGAGTGAACAGAACTAATATTTGTCGAAAAAAAACTGGTTTTTAATGGTTTTCATCTAGCTGCAACTGACTCGTTTTGACATACTGCAACCCAGTAAACTATGATCAGATCGGAGGGAAAGGTTTACCAAAAAGAACATTTTAAATTGAACTCTAGGAATGCTTTGCATGATTTTAAGTGAGATGAGAAAATGTTTGACTGCAATGCACAGTATCTCGAAGCGATAACCGCAGATGTCACTGCGCGCCTGAGGGAAACGAAATATTATTCACCGTCAGAGAGTGTGGTTAGGGTCGCTTCATACCTGGTTTCACTGTCTGTTGGAGTAAGTAGATCTCGGAATATGGATCTTCTTGGAGCTGCAGATTCACTATGAGAGCGCTTCTGTCGACCTAACTCAGCAGGCGTAGGATCCATTGTTGCGTCGGAGAGCAACTTGTCGTCAATATTGCAATGTTTAAATTTTGGATATTTTTCTTTCAAGTTTGATGTGTGTCATCACAACGCATGCTCTAATCTCGACAAGTTCGATAAGACACCTGTTACCCATTGACTGAGTATTTGGCATTTTATTACCTTGTTGTGAGGCGTCCGTCTTCGACTCTTTGGATTTTCGTAGCGTCCTAATAAATGTACTCCTTTCATTTTTACGACCATTACCTCAAGTTTTATTAAGTTTGATTGCTCGTGGGAAGCTGTATGGGGTTTTTAAATTCTGAAGCTAAATAATGCTAATTAGAATGGAAAGTTAAAAGTGCAACCTCAGAAAGCCGTTGACTTTATCAACAATGGTAAATATTTAGTGATTACAGCTATATTTCAACGATCTTGGAAAGAGTCGTAAGAGGTCGAATAAAGGAAGAATAAGACCAATTTTTTAGAAGCTGTCGCACGATGTTAATGGTGCACTTCTTCCAGCTGCCTGCTTTTAAAGAAATAAACAAGCTGTATTCATTTCCTTACATAGGAATATCCTTTACAGGGCAGAAAATTGCATTTTTATGCTGAGTTTGCAATAGCAAGAGAGTCTAATTGCATCATTTACAAATATCAGGTATTTTCCAGAGCAATTGCTGTTATAATTCGACAATTCACAGGAGTTTTATAGAAATTAGTCGTTTAATATGACTTTTAAGTACGTAATGTTCACTCACTTGTTTGTCATTCTTCGTGTGGTCGGAGTGTTTGGGGTTTTTGCTTTACTTGGCACCAATTTGATTTCAGAAAAACCGCTTCACATAGGCCACGCCGTCTTTCTGACTCAGGAAACCGTCTGTCCATGAATCGAAGTGATGCTGTCGAAATTAGTCGCCTCTATGCCATGAATTAAATTCACCTGAACTGATCACAAATTCATTTACGAAAGGCACTTCTAAAGATCCAATTTTCAGCTTTGAATGTGACACCTGAGAGTATGAATAATTTCTTTTGAAAGTTATCTAATGACCTTTCATGATTAGGAATATCCTTGTGGGGTTCGTCGAGAAATTTCAAAGTTGTAAAATGAGGTGGGGCAGGGTATGTCGAGAAGTTTTAAAGGAAAAACGTAATCAAGTAAATAATTGAGTTTATTGAAACCGAGTGCTACTTGTTTAATTACTAAATTTTTATCTTACATATTACGTTTTTTGTTTGTTTGTCTTTATTTTCTTAATCGAGGACAGAATATGGAATATCTGGAGATTTTCGAGAGTTTCTTTTTTCATTAAAAAAATACCCCCAAAGAAAACTGTCGCTTGAAATTCCTAATCCTGCCAACTTTTTCAGAAATTGTTTTAGACCCATCTTTGCGGTCAGAAGTACATTTATTTGCAGTTTCTCCAGACAGAACTCATAAATATTCGATGCATTTTCTAATTTTCACCAGTCGGCCTTTGGTTGTAAAAAATTTATTTTGTTTCTGACTTTTACTCAAATATCACATCGCGTTGTTCGTGACGATAACAGTAACGAATATTAATCATTTTTTAACCACGGCAAAAGTCGTTAGATACCGCGAAGAAGCCTCTTGATTTCGATAATTGCTTTTTAAAAGAAAAAAGTCACAACGCGGTATTTTTTAGTTAAGGATCAGCTTTTAAGAATGGCACCTCAAAAAGAAGGTTTTTTTCAAGAATTTTTTTCTATTTCTTGACTCTTTCAGGTAAAACTTATCGAAATCTCAGAGCATTAAAAATATCTTGTATCAACTTCGGTCGGATTGTTACTGTTCCTTCTCAAGTATTTCAAGGATAAACAACGATGAAGGAGCCATTAACCATGCACTTGTGGGTCACGTTGGGGAACAATAGATTTCTTAAAATAGGTAGTCTTAAAACGTTAAGTATTTTAACAATTTTATCAGAAATATATCGGGTTAAGCACTTTTTTAAACGAATCTATGGATTTGGTTTTTAAATCACAGCGGATCTGCGGATTTGCATACACCTTTTCACCCCTCTCTTTTACTGCCGGATGGTTATGGTGCTTTCTGACAAAAGGTAAAAATAAGCACTAAGGACTGCATGTGGCTACTGCTGCCGCATTCCACATATTTATGAATACCCTGCTCCGTAAGAGAAAGATGATTCAAGAATAACATTCTTTAGAAGTTCAAGTTCATCATCAGTTAGATTAAGCGAAGAAAGATTGTTTACAGTTTCATTCGGTGAGAAGGGTAATACGGTATTCTTAGTTAGGTTTTTAAGTTTCTTTCGATGAGTTGAAATCACTTTGGAGATGTCCTTGTCGACATTTTTATTTAAAACTTTTTGTAGAAGGTACCAATCAACAGAATTCAGATAATTTTTTATGCGTTCAGTAAAATCCATGGTAGTTTATCAATTTTCTTGTGCGGGATGTAATTCCCGTTATATTGGCGAAACTAGTCGCCACTTCTCTACTAGGATAAAGGAGCACACGGAAAGCGATAAAAACTCGCATCTTTTTAAGCATTTCAACACATCTCCTTCGTGTAAGAACAAATACTCCCTTTCTTGCTTTAGTATTCTGGATTCTGCTAACAACTCAATTGATTTAAAACTCAAAGAAGCTTTTTAAATAAATAAGATCAAACCTGAACTTAACAAACAATTACAGCATTAGAACACTTTTCTAGCGTTTTAGTTCACACCTTTGATGTTTGGTGTCACGTAATTAGTACCCGCTTTTGTACTACATCATACTGTAAATATTTTATTCATCTACTTGTCTGTTATATAATTACTCACGTTCTTTTACTCATTGCTTGAAGATGGCATAAGCATGCCGAAACATGTCTATCAAAAAAGTTGTCTATTTCTTACAATATTTATCATACTTGCTACTACTACGACCTAATAGTAATAGTAATAATAACGTATAGGGGATACCTCAAGAAAAGAACCTCACCATTCCTTTATCGGTTTATCCTCTAGGCTTCAATAATGATAGAACTAGGCTTCCTCCAATTTCAATTTTGCCTGTTAATTATAAATCATTTTCTTATTTCATTGTAATTCCATTTTTGCGAGACAGTTGATTCACACAATAAGGCTTTCCGAGTTGTACGGGATATTCCACCATTCCGCTATTCCACCTTTCAACAGTATTTGGGACCTTCCTCGCTTCGCAAAGTTAGCAGCTCTTCAGCGGATTCTATAAGTGAAATTATTGTATATGGATATAAATGAGGATTTCGTATGTTCCAAATCTACGATAAGTTAATCACGTGTTTTAAATATGATAATGATATCTTCATATCTGCGTGTGGCAGTCGACATGCTAAACACTAAACAGACTATTTAAATCGGCCGATTAAATTTTTCATGAACCGGTATTATACGAAGGTTAAAACGTGTACAAAAGAATATCATTTGAAAGTGTAGTGTGATCGTCCGAGTGAGTGTAGTACCGAGAAGGACTGTTGTCGGTGGTGGTAACTGACGTTTCGACAACCTGTGCGGAAGTCATCATCAGAGTCAAGTGAATCGTTGTTTTCAGTAGAATGTTCTCAGTCCAGTTCGTGTAAACGACTACAAACTGGTGTCATTTGATGTGAAATCACTGTTTACAAGTATCCCATTTCACTACAATGTACTGAGACTGAATTCGACAATCTACCAACCCACTACAATCTACCAACCCACTTCAATCTACCAACCCACTACAATCTACCAACCCACTACAATCTACCAACCCACTACAATCTACCAACCCACTACAATCTACCAACCCACTACAATCTACCAACCCACAACCGCTACTGCCGGACAGACGACATCATGGACTTACTGAACCTTTGCCTAACGTCAATTTATTTTGGGTACAACGGTAAACACTACAAACAGTTACACGGCACAGCCATGGGGTCTCCAGTTTCTGTTGTTGTAGCCGAAATTGTGATGCAGAACATGGAGGAACTCGACTTGCCCACAAACGATACCGCTTTGGTTACGCCACGTTGACACACACATTCGCCGCCGTACAACACGACAAGATCGATGCATTCCATCACCACCTTAACGGATGAAACACTGACATACAGTTTACCAGAGAAGTCGAAGAAAATGGCAAACTTCCTTTTCTAGACTGTCTGGTAAGCCGTGACGACAACTCACTACAAACGACAGTCCACAGGAAACCGACACACACTGACAGATTACTAGACGAGTCATCCCACAACCCCACATCACACAAAGCCACAACTATCAGAACTCTAACACGACGCACACAACTAGTTTGCAACAGTTTGCAACACGACAGACAGCTTATCCGACGAGAACAAATACCTTTATCGTGTTTTTTTCAAATAAAAACTACAACGACGACTTCATTCGACGAAACACTCACCGATCTACTACTACTACCGAAACAAACGACTCCGCAACTCCTACGACTACAGCAACCATACCGTATATAAAAGGCATGTCTGTGAACATCTCGCGCATCTTACAACCCTTCAAAGTCCGCATTGCCCACAAACCCATTACCACCCTACGTCAGTTACTAAACAAAGTGAAAGACAAGGACGAACCGAGGAACAGACAGGGAGCGATTTATAAGATCAATTGCTCCGACTGCCAAGCCTCCTACATTGGAGAGATTGGCAGAAACCTCGCAACAAGACTGACTGAACACAGACGGGCGACGAGGAAAGGTGATGTCAACAATCACATTGCTGAACATCATCGACTTAGATACGATGAATATATGATCGACTTACGAACCACAATATTGACTGGGACTCTGCGCAATGCCTAACCTACAGCACTATCTACTTTCAACGACTGACTCTGGAAAGCTGGTTTACTAACTTAGAACAGACTCCAGGTGTCAACTACTACCGGCTCTATAAGAACGACTCATTCCTGACGACATAAACATTACAAACGAACCGAACAGAACGACCTAACTTTACCGACGGATCGAAACAGACCAATCACGACCGACTTACGCCACTTGAGTCTTACAACCAATAACATCACGGCAAAACACACCAATCATTTRACACGAACTGGACTAAGAACATTCTACTGACAACAATCACTCACTTGACTCTGATGATGACTTCCGCACAGGTTGTCGAAACGTCAGTCACCACCAACGACAACAGTCCTTCTTAGGACTACACTCACACGGACGATCACACTGCACTTTCACATGTTACCCCTGGGTTCAAACTATTTACTGCAAAAGAATATCAATTGTTTCCATTGCACTCGTAAAACACGTTTTACATCCTTAAACACAAAGCCAGCGTCCCATGGGGTACATGTTACATTTGGTAAAAGTGCATGAGCATTCAAGATCGACAAAGCTAAATATTCTATGGTAGAATCCTTGTGAGCCTGACCTTTGAGGTCGAACATAGATTCGTTTCTTAGATAAGTTAAATCTATACCAGATACTAGTGTGGCATACAAATGAACGGAGATGGTAATATGTTCCTACCAGTGGCGAACCCTTCAATTTGAAATGACGTATTTGTACGACACTGTTTCTCTGTTCATACTTTTCGTTAAGTTTGTTCATTTCGTTTAGTTTGCTGTTATCGCACGTTACAGCTTTGCGGCCCTTCCTAATAAAGCGCGATAAGATTTTATTAATTTTCGAGAATGGTATAACTGGAAATAAGGTGGATGTTACCAAAACAGAAAGACGTTAAATCAGACCGCAAAGCCAAACTTCGGACAAAAACTTCCAGAGAAGGACGAAATCACACGAAAAGGTCCAAACTCGGGCGAACGCGCTCAGAATAGGACAGAGGCGCCTGAAGTTGAACGGAGGCACCCGAAAATGAACGGAGGCACCCGAAAATGAACGGAGGCGCCCGAAAATGAACGGAGGCGCCCGAAATTGGGCAGAATCGACCGAAATAACACGGCGAAACGAAAACGTTCGGACGAAACCGAAGTCGGACTGCGGGGTCCGAAAACGGTCGAAGGAAACTATTATGGGGGCTCTGGAAATGAAAGGCAGTACTGGGTTTCTAACTGTCATCTAAGTACATGCCTACGACAGAACTTGCTGCAACTTATAGTTCATCTTCTAATTTTTTATAATCAATGAAAAATTCAACTGTAACTGTCCTGGTGCTAACGCGTTTATAATTGGTAGTTAAATTATGTTCTCACTCTTGGTAATTTTAGGGCGAATTTCACCCAAGACATATAATTTATACGAATATTAGGTGCTTTTCTACAAATTACAGCATTTTCTTGAGTAACATACAATTTAAGCTAATTTCAAAACATTGGATCAGAATGCAAGATGATTTAAGTCCACAAACTTCTCGTGCACTTCTCGAATCTTTAACTGGCGCAAAACAGTCGTTTTTCAGTCTGGAAAAAATAGTGGTCACAAAGCGTACATCATCCAGGGAGCGTTCTTCTTCAGTTTCAACGTCAGTATTTTAAAAACGCACTCCACGCCTATCGTATGATGTTGTGTAAGTTCTCAGGAGTACGATACGTCCTGCAGTGAGTTGAGAACAATTTTCAAATAGAGTATCGAATGTAGTCCACAGGTAAAGCTTCACTTTTCTCTACGTTCGGTCTCGAAAACTCTCGGCCCCCTTCCCTTCCCCCCCCGCCGAACCATTAAGATGCAAAGTTAAACCAATCAAAGTTAAGCCAATCGTGACTCTGTCACCCGCGTTTTCCCGCGTTTCCCGCGTTTTCCCGCGCTTGGGGCAGTGTTTTAGTCATATCCTGGCTAACATCGATATTCTCCCTCCATTCTATTCGCTGTTATTATAACCCAGTGTTAGCTTCAATTCACTTTATTTATCCAGCGTTCGTTTCGTCAGGAGAATTTACGTATTGATCACACGCATTACAAGAGTCTTACAAGTGAGTGGAGTCCATAAGCTGTAGCTCGGTGTCGTCATCATCAATATTCAATCGGTTGTATCGTCCGTTTCGGTTTTCGAACTGATTGGCAGCTGTCAGTGCCTCCTTAGCCTTGTGAAACGTGTCTCGTAAATCTCTGTGTGTCTTTATTTGGAAGGCGTCATTAATCCTCTTCTTCGTATCTTCCTCTATTGCTATGTCCAGTCTCTTGCGGAACAAACGACCAAGTATCTCTTTCTCAAGCTCGTTGTAGTCGTCATTGTTCGGAAGTACATCGTCTTCGAAGCAACATCTCCGAATGCAAACGAGACCAAGCGAAAACAGAGTGGCCGCGATTAAAATGCCGAGTCCAAGGATCTGGGACTGCATGTGAACTTTAAGGAGAGAACGCTGATCGTGTGGTATCTAAGGGAGCATCAAAAGTAATTCAATGGTTGAATCACTCGAAAATGGAACAGGGACATAGAAAGTCAGTGAAGGGGCAAGAACTAAGGTAAAGAGTAAGAGTTTCAGGATACTTCTCTCACCTTTTCCTCCCTCATCACTGCTTTCTAAATCAAGTTTTTCGAAATTTACTTCCCCTGTGCAAAATGTCTGTTTTTTCTTCTAATAATAAGTCTACCACGGCAGTGAATTTCTGGCAGTAGCACCAAACATGTTATGGATTTAAAACCAGATGAAATACTTTAAATTATTTGTTCTTCGATTAACGCAGTGTCATTTTTTGGGGGAGAGTGATACTAAAAAGGGCTGTTATCATTGCGTTTGACTGATGTTTTGACCCACAAACCTGATCATAAGTCATTATCAGAATCAAGTGACTTGATTGATCAATTTAACTGAGATGACTGAGGCCGCCAAGGTTGTCAAAAGATCAGTCATGACACCAGAACTAAATAATTTGGATATATCAACAAAGTTGAAGTGGTAAATTGGCCACCGTAACGTAATCAGAACTAACCCCATCCTAGCAAATAGACTACACGATCAACTGGATAAGAGCAAAACTACTCTGATAATCACCGAAAATGTTTCCTTACGTTTGAATTATCACTGTCTTGAAGATTTCTGTGGCACGCCTCATTTAGCGAGCCATAACTTAAACAAACGAAGAAGTCCCCTTTCAACAAAACGATGGTAATGTAGGCCATGGGAGCTAGAAACGGTTGAAAAAGTTTAGTCAGAGACTTCATTCGCTTATTACATCTCTCTTTGACATCTGGCATTCTGCTGGTCTTCAAAATGGATTGCCAAAATCCTCCGCTCATCATGAAACCGAGGCCCAGGAGGAACAGGGCGGGTCCCACCAACATAACGAGGCTGTACATGAAGTAATTCGTACAAGGACATCTGTCGCGAGAAATATAAACAACGTGAACGAGTTGGTTGGAGATGTGATTCAAACCAAGCTGATGCATCTCAAGAGATGCTTGTGATCCTCTGGTGGAACTTGTGATACGCTATTTCAAACGCGAAGTGTATTCCGTATCTTCGACTTTCTCTCCAAATTCACGTTGTCAACTCGATTTTTATGTATATATTTGACGTTTTGTAACTGAAAACCTAGCTAATATAATGTAGAAACTTTCAGGCGTAATAAAACTTAAATCAGTAGATTTAATTCAATACCTCTCAGTCTAACTAAAACATTTAAGCAAACGTAACAATTCTAGAGAGAGAGAGAGAAAGAGAGAGAAAGATTTATTTAAGGACAAATCAAATTAAGGAAGTCGAATCCACCGTAATTTCCATTTGTAATCATTGTAAATGAGTTATGCGTTATCACAACTTTCACGCAGATTTCGCTGATGAGGGAGACTTTAAAAATAAACAAGGCATTGCTTCTATAGTGGAGTAAACTTTTCAAACTCTGAAATAACTGTATCAAACAGCCTTCTTGTATTACAGTTAAAAAAAATATATATGAAAAAGAAGTTTTTCCACGCGGCATATTCTCAAGTATGTGTGTATTTCTTTTATTTCACCACTTATCCATTATTGATGCACTAGGTTTGTGGTGTTTAAATTAAGATTGAAATACACGATGCAAAAGTGATCACACAAAATCTTATTTAATTAATTTGTACTTAGCTCAGATGGGCAGAAAACGAATGCTCGTCTTTGTATTTATATGACACATCCAGTTTCACCTTGTGGAATTCGTAACATTTTTTACATTTCTTTTCTATTAGAATTTTACTAAATTTCAAAAGTAGACAGCCTTTTTGTTCCAGGATGAAGTAAATTAATTTAGTAAGATACGACCAGCTGCACTTTTCATTTTTCGGATGCATATATGTTTAAAGATTACCAAGAAAAAACGGGAAATAATATCAAAATATGAAATGATATTGCTAAACATTTTGCTATTTTCTCTCCGGATGAATTACTTTTTTGCTAGATTATTTCCAGATAATTCACTTTTCAGTCTCTCTGTAGGAAAAGTTATAAACGAGTGATTAGTTATTTTCGAACAAAATTTGGCGTTTTTAGGAGTTGGCTGAGAATTGACTTTTTGTTGTCCGAGGTTAACCAAGACCTTGAAAAATCCCGCGAACATAAAAATATTCGACGCATTTGGAGAAAATTTGTTGTCCCAGAAAATAAAATGTGAAAAGACCACTTACCTGAGAAGTTGGGTTCTAATATACTCCTCGAATCCATAAATAATCACCAGAATGATAGAATTCTGAATAGGTCCTTTCGAATATTTGTAACGTCTTTCAAGTAATTCGAGTAAGTGTCCCATTCTCGCCTCAACTCTCAGCCAATATATTTGTTCTCTGCGCAAATCGACGGGTGAATGTGACTTGCAGACTGAAACGTGATTTGATATTCCCTCGCTCGGCCTTCAAAACAGCTGTAAATATTGATCACTCTTTGTTAAGCTTGTTATCTTCAGTTTTATGAACAGAATATATTGTTTTTGAGGTTTTTTTTATCTCGATTCCCTTTCTCTCTACAGGCTGTAAAACTAACCGCAGGAAAATTGTCCTCCCTAAAAATTGATGGTCGTTGGAGAACTGCCTATGAAATCCCATGAAATTTTTATATCTTTGTTATTTGTACAGGTGGAGACAAACCAATGACAATGAAGATTTATAAAGTCGGTATATTGAAGTGAAAGTCAATATGAAAGTCATGATGAATATCAATGCAAAGATACATACGAGCTACAGTATTCGGAGGTGGGAATTCCTTCGAAGATACACCAACAAAATAGGCCTCAAACTGCATCTAAACAATACATTATTGCAAAGCTAAGAAAGCTTCCCTTTATCATTAAAATTTCAAAGGAATAGAGAGGCTTCTTCAACTATTCGTGTGTGTTGGACAACCCTCTCAGTTTTGCTGCGAGTTATTGGTAATTGTGAAGGACTCCCAGACGAACCCTGTCGGCTGACAGATAACCGACAGGCCATCGACAGGCTGCCGAGAAGTTATCAATATTGGTGATATACCCAAGCCGGTGAAAGGAAAAAACTTTGACTTAAAATACTTTAGATATCCTTTTTAGTGCTGAAATTACTGTTCATACGTCAGACCACTTATACTTCGCTGGATTACCTAGTCATGAGTGATTGTCACATCGAGTTCTCGAACACTGATGAAATGCCACGGAGAGACCATACTTTGTGACAAAGTTTGCAAATTATTTTAAGAGGAAGCACGCGGGAGAAGGCATCATACGATGAACACAAGTGTTGAACTGAAAAACAATTTAACTATACTCTCTAGATTTGATATTGATGGTGGTAATTAAAACAGGAAATGCCAATCTTATAAATGCCAGTTGTCGAATTTAACCCCACCCTTCTATCTGTCTCTTTCGTTTTCAGCTCCCATTCAACGCCAATCCTTCCTCTTCATCATAACCAACTCACAGTCTTTGTAATGTTGACATTTTTTAAGTACTCTGGTTAGCACTTCATGAAAAGGGAAAACTGATTGCGCTTAAAATTATCTCGCACAGTCTTGTGTCCGAGACAAGACCTAAAGCGGAGGAATGGAACAGCCAGCTTTTACCCTCATTCCGAATAATTTTAACAATTAAAACTTTCTTCCTCTTCAGATATATTGGCCTGTCTGCACTACTATCATTATCTCCAATTTTTTTAAATTAAGATTTGGCATTTTTACCCTTCTCTATGCTCGGCAAAGATTCGCTACATCAATATTATTACCTCTAATAAAGAATGAGGAAATTTTAACAGCCAAAGATGTTAAGGTTCCTGACTGGGATAGAAAATAAAAGATTCTATATTTTGATAGAATCTTGAAATCCAGAATCAACTGAAAAATCCATGACAATTATGCCAAGAACCCGGAGAAAAAGAACAGAAAAAGAAAATCTGAGGAACTCGGGCCTATTTGTGATTAGCAGGAACACCTTGTTAACCACTTATCAAGGTATAAAATAAGAGATAGACACTCAAATTCATTAAAAATTTTATTGTGCACATCACTGATAGCTATTTCAGTTTCCCTTAAAAAAGATACCCACATTACCAAATGCACTTAGTCATGCAATAAATCTACTCCTATTGAACAGCCAATTTCTCTGTCGGGTTATAAATATTGGTTTTAAGCAAAAAAATAAATACTTTTTCTCTACATGTGACAGGTTACATATAAATATTAAATTTTAAATGGAAGGTTAAAGAAAGTCAGAACTTGTAAAATGGCTGATAGAAACGATAACTACAATTAATTAATTAATAGCACTAATTCTTAATCATTGTCAAGTAAGTTCTTTGCCTTGCAAAATTCACGCTTAGTTATATCACTGTAAAATATGTAGCAAAAAATTCTCCAGAATTAACGAAACTATATGCGATATACATACTCTATCAGAATTCATAATGTGTACTGAGGAAAATGTGCAAAAGATATCTACTACTCTTAATTTTGTGCATTAGAATTAGTCCTGGATTACAAAAATATTTATCAAGCTTATTTCACATAATACACATCTCATGCAATAATTTCCGAGCATTATTAGTTTGACAGTACTGTGCACATAAAAAATAGCCTAATCATTTGAAAAATATCTGAAGACAAACTGAAGTGTTTTCTGCTATCATTTTTTTAAAGCACCTTGCTCAACGCACACTAGCAAATAGCAAATACTATTAAGCAATGTTAAAATCTTTTTTAAAGCAACATAATGAAAGCACACCACCAAATAGCTAATAACATATGGGAATTTTTTCCTTTTTTTTTTTCTTTTTAAAAGCAGTTTGCTAAAAGCACACTACCAAATAGAAAGTACAACATAGCAATTTATTTTTCTTAAAGCACCTTGCTCAAAGCACACTATATAGGTAGCAAATAGCAAAATTAATACCATTAAGCAATTTTTTTAAAATCTTTTTTAAAGCAACATAATGAAAGCAACATACCACCAAATACCTAATAACATATGGCAATTTTTTTCTTTTTTTTTCTTTTTAATAAAGCACCTTGCTAAAATCACACTACCAAATAGCAAATACAACAATAGCAATTTCTTTTTTTAATGCACCTTGCTCAAAGCACTCTACTGAATAGCAAATAGCATAAAGCAATTTCCTTTTTTATAGCAACTTACAGAAAGCACCTTGTTAAAAGCACCTTGCTAAAAGCACACTACCAAATAGCCAATACTAATAACCCAATTTTGTTTTTTAAAGCACCTTGCTCAAAGCACTCTACTGCATAGCAATATGATAAAGCAACTTCATTTTTAAAGCACCTTGCTCAAAGCACTCTACCACATAGCAATATGATAAAGCAATTTCATTTTTAAAGCATCTTGCTCAAAGCACTCTACCACATAGCAATATGACAAAGCAATTTCATTTTTAAAGCACCTTGCTCAAAGCACTCTACCACATAGCAATATGATAAAGCAATTTCATTTTTAAAGCACCTTCCTAGAAGCACACTATTGAATAGCTAATACTACATGGCAAATTCTTCTTTTCTAAAGCACCTTGCTAAAAGCACTCTACCAAATAGCAAATACCATGTAGCAATTTCTTTTTTCAAAAGCACCTTGCTCAAAGCCCATTACTGAATACCTAATACCATATTGCAATTTCTTTTTTTTCAAAGCACACTATCAAATAGGAAATACCACATAGCAATTTTTTCTAAAACACCTTACACAAAGCACACTACCATATGGCAAATATCATAATGCAATTTCATTTTTTAAAGCATCTTGCTCAATGTACACAACAATTATTGCAATTTCCTTTTTGTGAGGCACACCACCAAATAGCAAATACCATAAAGCTATTTGGTTTTTTTAGATGCACCTAGTTAAAAGCACACTACCAAGTAGAGATTTTTTTCCTTTTATTTCCAAAGCACCTTCCTCAAAGCACACTACCAAATAACAATTTTTTTTTTTCAGAGCACCTTGCTGGAAGTAATTAACCTACCATAAAGCAAATTTTTTCCCCTTTTTTTTCAAAGTACCTTACTCAAAGCACACTACCAAATAGCAAATACCATAAAGCAATTCCTTTTTTTTTTAAAGCACCGTGCTCAAAGCACACTACCAAATAGCAAATACCATAAAGCAGTTTCTTTTTTTAAAAGCACCTTGCTCAGGGCACACTACCAAATAGCAAATACCATAGTGCAATTTTTTTAAAGCACCTCACTCAAAGTACCTTATACAATATAGCTTTTTTCCCCTTTTTATTTTCAAAGCATCTTTCCCAAAGCACACTACCAAATAGCAAATACCATAAACTAATTAGTAAAATGCCAGCATCATTTTTGGTCTAAAAAGGCTCAGGAGGTAACAAAAACCCCCAATATACAAAAACAAAAAAATTCCAAGTAAAGTTCAATTTGATAACATAAAATGTACTAACCATAAATCAGCCTAATTAAATGAATTATACACAAAGATACATTAGATGATCATGAATTTCAATGGTTTACAAACTGACTCTGCAAAAAAAAAACATGTAATTGTCACTATAAACAATTTAAACATACATGATCTAAACATGTAATTGTCACTATAAACACTTTAAACAAACTTGATCTAAACAAAGTCAAACATATGTCTTTGGCCTTCTATTTACTGTTGAGGAATCACATTGTTTCAACCATTCATACTGAACCCACTCATCAATTATATCTACAACATCACTCCTTTTCATTCCTTCAAGCATTTCCCGAAATTTGCCAACACAGCTACCCTCCTGGGTATTATACTTGGTTATTATTTGATCAGTTGGGTTTTCTAACTGGCCAAACCACAAAATAAAATCTCGGGTAAATCCAATCTCTTCTGCAAGAAGGCGAAAGTCATCAAAAGCAAAACGCTTTATATTAAGCTTTACACAGATCCTTGAATAATATTTGTATGGGATAGAAGACATCTTTTTGCTCAAGAGGTTATTCTGGAAATCTTGTGGAATGCCATTCAGAGAGGTTTCACTTGTTACAGCAAGATAGAGGCCATTTGTTGAAGTATGCTGAGTTTTCACTAATGATTTGGCAAATCCTATGAAATTAATAAAGAACATAGACTGTTAAAAGTAGAAATCAGTTGACAAGTAACTGGTTTCTCAGTGCAGTTCTGCTCTAGGTGGATCGAAGAGGCACAGTGAGAATGAAGCATCTTGCCCAAAATAACGCCACAGTAAAAATGACCAGCCAACCTCAGTGGCTGGGAATAAAACTTAATGAAATGTAATATTACCTCTAAAAACATCACGAGGATTTCAAGTCTCATTCCTTTCCCCCCAACATTGTACAAAATAAGTGAATTAGCATTGATTGACCAAGCTGCTGGCTATACTTAAAATAAAGCTCCTGCCCATAGTCTCTTAATGGCAATCACACAAAAAAAAATGATATGAAATAATAAGAAAGATTTAAAAAATCTGAAATGTTGCTTAAGTGAAGTCATCTATAATACACTAGTAGGGGAAAGTATTTGGTTAAAACAAGCCAAATGGCCTAAACACAAAGAACTTGATCCATTTACTGCATATGAATAGCAGTATTGCTATTTTTCACAAAAAAAAAAGGTCTGCAATGCTTACTTAAGAGCATTATAAGCTAACTCCCACTTTTAGCCCTGATTTCTCAGTTGAGAGCTTGTTAAATATAACTATATTGCCCATTTTTTTTTTTGTGAGTATAGAAATAGGTGGCATAAGATGGGAAAGCCATGCCTCAATGTCCCTTCACTTTAAGGCCCCCCTCCTCATGTCAAAGAAAAAAAATTACGCACTCTCTGGTTTCACTGGTTGAACCCTGGCAATAGTGGACATTGAGGAATTCCTGGTAAAGACAGCCTCATCTGAAAGCTCAGCCGCTACAAGACCTGTAGAAATGAAAAAAAAAAAAAAAACATATAGAAACTGTCTGAATTTTTTATAAATCACATGGTAAGTTTTTCCAATGTGTCAGAGTCTCTTAGGAAGAAATAATTTTTATCTTAACTACGAAAAATGGAAGTACCAAAGGATGCAATATGAGACCAACATGACAGTATTGCTGATCAAAAATCTCACTGAATTAATAATATTATCTTAACTTACAATTACACATAATCCATAATCTTATAATCCATATAATCATGCTTTTCATCTCCAAAACAATTAACTATAAAGTTTAAGTTATAAAAATGTACAAAAAACTTACTGTATTCTCTTTTCCATAGTAATTTCTTAGGTTTTGGACTTCCAAAACACTGGAGAGGGATACAATTGGAATTTGATGTTTCCTTTTGGAGAATGGGATTAAGAGCTCCTGGATGTGAAAATGAGCGAGAGAATCCTCTTTGGGTTTTCTCTGTTTTAGCTGGAGGTCGAAACTGTATTTGGTATTGATCTAGCAAGTCTGATAACTCTGGGTCAGTAGTCCTCTCAGGAGTTCCTAGAACAAAAGTGTGAAGTAAATTATTTTAAGATTGAGGAAGTTCTACAGGAAGTGATACTGTGTACACTAGGGAGGTGCTGGTGAGTATGATAAAAAAAAAAAAAAGAATAAAGGGAGAGGAGAACTAGGGAAAAATAAGCATATTTTATTGCCTCCCAACACCCTCCCTACTCACTAGTCTCTTTACTCTACGCTTTCCTGAATCAAACTGATACAACTCTTGCCCAAATAATTCACCTTAAAAAAAGAAACAAAAAAAGTGTCGATCAAAGTATGTAATTTCAGGTTTTGAGACAATGATCCTCTTTCTTAATTTTTTAAAGGATTCATGATGTAACCAGTATAGGTATTCCTATTTTTCTCATAAGAACAAGTTTCAATTCCTAATTTAGAAAAAGAAAACAACATTTTAAGGTTTCTTTGACAACTGGCATTAAACCCAATGAAGACATATTCTTCCCCTTCATTTCATAGAGATTTATCTTCTGAGTCATTCAGATGCTCCTGCATCAAAAAAAGAAACTTGATGTTTCTATGCAATGTATTTCTGATGACTTAAGTGAGGGGTGTCACAAAAACTGTAAGACCTAAGATCAAGGACCCCTCGAAAACTAAAACCCCTTAAAAACTATGACCCCTCGAAAACTAAGACCCATCGAAAAACTTTTAGGTATGGGATATTTTAAAAGAAAGAAGAAGTCAAGTTGATCTTTACAACCTGGACATAGTTAATAGAGTGAACTATGACCTGGAGGAGCTACAACCTGGGAGATCATGAATTTTACGTGGGGTGTTTACATGCAGGCTACCGAGCTGCAAAGTGAAACATTGGACGTAGATAAGTAAACTTTTCGCTGCTAGATTTACACTGTCTATTTAATTCAGAAAGAAAAAGTGAGCTCTCTGTTTCGCTTTTCACTACACATTAGTGTGGACGGGGCCTGAATTACCGAGTGCATAATTAACAGTGACTTACGTCAGCGCAGTAGGGAATGCTTTTGATGTGTTGAACAAAAGGCCATTTTAACGTATTCTGCTAAAATAAGTATAGCTTGTTTTCAATTCTCAGGAAACTTTAACCACAATTTTTAAGATCAGTTTTTCCGATCGTGGCTCTTGTGCGTGACTTCCGGTAGTAAGCAGTGAAGTGTTAAAAGGACAACAATTCATGACCAGCTCAGTTCATCTTCTTTCACGTGGATGGGCTTTTGTATCTTTCCATAATATGTTTAGGACATTGGATATGTTGTGATTTGTCCAGTTATACCCTTTAATGGAGGAGGTCTAGCCTTGTCATAGGGGATTTGTTATGGTCCACAAAACTTTAGGTCAGTGGGGTCAAGTTACATGAACTTTGATTAGACCATCATATTTGCATAATTATAAAAGGCCCCGTCCACACTAATTAAAAGTGTAGTGAAAAGCAAAACAGACAGCTCACTTTTTTCTCTCTGAATTAAGTAGACAGTGTAAATCTAGCAGCAGAAAGTTTACTTATCTATATTCAACGTTTAATTTTGCAGCCCAATAGCCTGCATGCAAACACCCCATGTAAAATTCACGATCTCCCAAGTTGTAGCTCCTCCAGGTCATAGTTCGCTCTACTAACTATGTCCAGGTTGTAAAGATCAACTTGACTTCTTTCTTTTAAAATATCCCGTACCCAAAAGTTTTTCGATGGCCGTCTTAGTTTTCTCGAGGTCTTATTTTTCGAGGGGTCTTAGGGTCTTGGGTCTTAGGTCTTAGTTTTCGTGACACCCCTTAAGTGAGCTTGTATTTGAGGTTATAGTGTGGAGAACAGATGGTGCATTGTCTATTTCATTAAATGACAAGTCTTCACCTGTGAAATTGTGTTCGCTCTTCCCTGTGCCTTGTTGAGGGTCATGCTCATATCTCTGTACTTGGCCATCTGCTCCATCAAAATACATTGTGTTTCCTTGGCCATTTGATGCTTCAAGATGGCAGCAATAACAAAAAAATGTTACAAAGGTACTTCTGATCGCATCCCAGCCATAGCGAACAATAAGGATCCCAAAAATGACAATGGCTGTGAACACAATTATACCAAACCCAATAGCTACAATTTCCGATACCTCAAGACCTTTCTGGTCTTTGTCATGGTCCTTGCTTTCAGCAGAGCTTTTGGTGGTTGTTTCAAAACATTTTAAATTATGTACCCTGCATTGTTTGCTACTAGGCAATCCAGAGTCCTCGCACTGTTTTTCATGATATTTGTCACTTTGTCCACAGCAATCACTGCATGGATGACATTCACCACTGATTGCATCCATATAAAATCCTTTGTAGCAGATTCCTGAACAATTTGTGGTATCCTCTTCTAAGGTGCACTTTCCAGTTTTCTTCTCATTCTTGCCACATATTTTGCAACCTTTACAGGTGGAATGAGTAGTGTCTGAAAAATTTACTCCTTCCACACAAGAGACACACTTGATTGGCATGCTGAATGGTATGCTGGTCCCACAGTGTACATTTAGTCCTAATCCTGGAGGACATTCTGCCTTTTTGCAAATCCACATGACTGAGTGTGTCTCATTAATTACTCTCTCTATTTCATTAGGCCCTGGATTGCGACGCTTTGTAGTTGCTATACCAAAATTAGCAAAAATGGATATAAAACACACCTGCAAAAAGAAGGTTCTTAGTCAAATCTAAAAGGAAAACTTAAAGTGTTCACAAACATTCAACAAGGAAGGTAAAAAGTTGTCTCTGGTGCAAGTGGACACGAAATGAGAAATAACTTAATTTCCAAAAATAGAAGAGGATGGAATGATAGTGGCCAAAAAAAGAGACAAAATGGGGTCCATCTTAGATTTCTCTTCTCATTCAAACTGCCAACATAAGCTCTGTCTCAGTTCAGCAACCTATAAGTAAATCTATTCAAAGCTTTAACATCACCCCCACCCTGTATTTGAACTTTTTAAGATTGGTTTGACCAAACTCCCAACCTGAAGGCAAAAATTGTGTCCATGTAAATACCTCACCCAATTTTTAAGTTAAAGACAAGATTAGCAACTGTGATATTCTACACTTTAAGCAAGCTTGAAAACCTAGACCAACCCCCAGGCATGAGCTACAGTCAAATGCCTGTGGGTTGCTGTGACTTAGCTGAAACCTGGAGAAAAGCGGATAAGTTTCAAATGTAAGGAGACTTTGGTACTGGATTGGTGGTGGTATATCACTCATAAAATTCACAGGCTGTGACATTAGATGTACTTTGAAATTACTTATAATTGCTATATCAGGATATATCAGCTAAATTGTGTCAATATGTCATTTCCTCTGAGGTAAACAGGTATCCTGCTATGAATAAAGAACTCCTGTTTCATTTAGCTTGTGAGCAAGTAGGATTTTTGGAGTAGGAATTGTGGCTTATAGGCCCATTTCATGTTTAAGCTTTGAGTCACATGATATGTTATACACAGTTGAACCTCCTAAAAGTGACCACTCATAACATCAAGTCTTGGTGGTTGCATATAGGAGGAAGTCATTTTACAGGAGCTTCACTCACAAGGGCTCCATATTTTGGGTATTTTGCATACGGTGACCAGATTCTTTCATAAGTGCTTATTGAAACCTGTAATTGTCCAACAACTTTTAATTATAGGAGGAGAATTCAAGAAGGAAAATCTTAATGTGATGTACAGGGTCACTATAGACATATACTATACTTTTTAATATTTCTAATTATTCAAAGATTTCACTGCTTTGCTTCTTAATTTTATGTCCAGGACCTCCCCTAGTTCCAGTTTAGGTAAATTCAGGCATTGCTTAGGTATGCCTCCTTGCGTCCCACACATAGATGAGCACTAAAATGCATTAGCTGGACCAGGGTTTTGTGGTTACCTTTCAGCAAATTATTTACTGCCTTAAGATAATCAGGTGATATAAAGTAAATCTTTTCCTGCCTGTTTAACTGTGGAAGTAGTAGCTAGGTTGGGTTGGCAAATCAAATCGATCACAAATATTTTGGTACATGCTGAATCATGTTTCCCTGACCATTGCTTTGGTATAAAGAGGGGAGGGCTTAGTAAGTTAAGTTGAGTTTTATGAACTGAAGAGTCTGAAACAACAGAGCAAGAAGAGGATAAAGGTCGAACTTGCTTCCGAGAAGGTAGAATCACTTAGTTTGTTTATTACTGTTTAGCCTTTCGACCTTGTTCATTATACAATAACTCTACTGCGTCAATTATGCATGATTTTGCTTGTGACTTAGTAGATTTAGCTTACGTTTTGCTTTAATCTCACATTTCATTTGTCGTTGGAATCCAGGAAAATTCACTCTTTCATTTTACAAGGTTTCTCATTTGTTTTGATCAGTGATATTCTGGAACATTTTTGTTGCTTATTCACAATTCTGTAAGTCAATTATTGTAGGTGCATATTTTTGCATAATCCTGCATATTTTGTAGTAAATTCAATCTGTTTATTGCAGTGACTTAGATTCTGTCCTACAACTGTTGATTAATATAGAAAACTGCTCTTCTAGTTTTTGTTCTATATTAGCTTGGTTCCACGGATTCACTTCGTTCATTTAAGCTTTGACATAGAAGGTCATAATAGCTAGGTCTAGCAATTTCTAGGTCTGGATTATCTGTTGAAAAAATAATGTTTTTCTGTGTTTACTTCATTATTTTGAAATTTTTCTAACCTTGAATCTTTTACTTGGGAATCCTGCCCTAATCGTTCTTGGGTCGTCAAATACCATTTTTTTGTAGAATTATGCATAGTGGTTTTCAAGACATATATATTATTCTATTGCTTTATAAGAGTTGCTTTTGCAACAAGCATCAAGTAACTTTCTTATTGGTTCTCAAGTTTAGTTTGCATAGTTACATCACTTCTGTTCTATTTTCATCCTTGAGATAGACTTCTTTTTTAATAATTTTGAGTTCTTGTGCTTAAACCTTGTAACTTTTAACATAACTTCATCTCTCGATTGCTGTACTTTCTAAGAGCATTTTCTGTGTAGTAGCTATTTCATTGTTTTTATATATAGTTTCACAATACTAAGTTGCCTATTTTCTTTGGTTCTAATATAGCCCTAGGTTGTATTCTAGCTTACTTTCCTGTTAGCACTTGGTTAATTGCAATATTACATTGTACTTCTATTAGTTAATTCACACTTGTTGCATTTGTGTAAGGTTATCTTGTATCTTTTGAATTATTCACCAGGTATAGTGTATGGTCATTCCCATTTATTTGTGTTTATTTTGTTTTGTTTTACTGAATTAGTTTGATGTGAATTTGGGTTTTTAATAAATTGCATAAGAACATCCTTGAAGCCTACAGGTTTCTACTTGCCTGTCTGCCACACATTTAGACTGATGGTGATTGTTTTGTATCCAAAAATTTATCTAATACAGCATTTGGGACAATTTACAAGGGCACTGAAGGAAACTTGGCTCCACATCTGTGGAAACAATTGTTTTGTTTCTGCTTGTGTGAGATAAATTTGATTGTTTGTGGTCACCTATGGGAGCAATTAAAAATTGTAAACACAATGTAAACTATTGGGTTACCAGCAATTGTGTTAGCTATTAAAATTTATTTATTTATTTAAACACAAATATTGAGAAGTGGGTGCCTATAAGAAATGGATGCTCATGAGAGGTGGACGCTTATGATAAGTGGTTGTTTATGCAAGGTTTCGTTTATAGTGATTTGGTATTTTGAAAAATTGTTTACTAACAAGAGGTGGTTGTTTAAGAGAGGTGGTTGCAAAGGGGGTTTGACTTTAGTGTTAGGACATCAAGAAATAGTAAGTAGCTAGTTTTAGTTGCATTTAAAAGCCTTCACACTAGCGGCTGTTCTGAAGCTAGCCCTTTCCAAGTCAAGTCTGAGTTAACCTCCAGCACGTTTGGCATGTTTACAGTAATTTGAACTTGAGAGAATGAGTTCTGTTAAGATTAGCTTCTGTTACGAGTAGCATATTATTCTGTTATTGAGCACCAATTATGCTAAATTGTGTTGCTTTCACTAAGATTTGTTTGGCTATTCATTGTGCTAATTTGCTTTGCATTTGGTTCATAAGCAATATTGATCATAATGTATGGATCCAATTTATAACCTTTGTCAGTTTCTTAGTTGTCATCACTTACATTGTTAAAGGGCCTGTTTCTAAGACAGAAGTCAAGTTATGAATTGCACCCCATTAAGCTAAATTTCTGTCATTTAGACATATAATTTTCTTGTTATTTTGTCAAATTAGTTTGCTCCATTTTATTTACTTCTGAAATTTTTTGTTTGTTCCTCGATGTATACTTCTTTTGATCAATTGATTATCATTAAGTCTTGAGTTGATTGTGTGATTGTTCTCTTGGTTTCACCTTGAGTATTTTGTTCTAGTATTGTAATAATTTTGTTGCTTTGTATACTAAAAAGCTTTCATTGATATTTTGTAATTTTGAACACTGTTGATTTGTTATATTCCTACCAGTTTCTTTTGCCCTTTTTTCTTTAATAATAATTTTTTGTGTGTATTAAATTGCATTTTGTGCATTGTTTTCTTTACAAAACTGAACCTAACTTGATCACACATAACACATAAGTGTGGATTAATTGACAGAAATTAAAGTGACATCACGTGAGAAGATAAGTTGTTTGGAAGAGGTTATCAAGTCATGGTAATTTCTATCGATACATGAGATCTTTCATATACTTTGTAAGGACTGATAAATTTTACTCAAGGTTTGGCCCCAAATCCTACTTTAAAATTGAAAACTATTTTCTTTACCCAACATTTTAGGGTTTCCATATCTGTCAAATTTCTTTCACTTTACATACTACGCTACTGCAAATCCTTAATAAAGCCCCCCCTCTAATAGGCCGCCCCCCCTCTTTAGAGAAAGAAATTTATTTTAAAGCCCCCCCACCCCTTCCCCTTAAAATACAAAAATTCAAAATAACTCTTTATGTCTGTAAGTATGATCAATTTATTCCAGTACTGTAATTTTAGTTTGTCATTAAAAATTGATTATGGTGATTGATTTATTGATGTTATCGTGTGGGCATCAATAGAATATTGATTTACAAGATGATTATGACAAATCATACAACTCATCAGACTTAACTGACAATTTTGACTCTACCAATATGGTGAATGAAAAAATGTAAAATGAGAACAATTTTTGAATAAATATGATACATCATATCCTATTGTATCCTGGTGGTGAACATTTGGCTAAATTAATAGGCTCCCTCGCCATTAAGCCCTCCCCCTCTGATAAGCCACACCCATAAAATACCTGAAATAAATAAGACCCCCTGGGGGCTTATTAAACTATCTTTGGTATTTATTAAGTTATTTTTTTAATCAATGTTAGGGTATTGAGTGGTATGTTGCTTGCACCAATAAGATTGCCACATTAGGAAATGTATCTCGCACCAATCAGATCGCCACATTAGGTATCTATCTCGCACCAATCAGATCGCCACATTAGGGTATGTATCTCGCACCAATCAGATCACAGCATTAGGGTGTGTGCCAACCATAGTATTGTCTCTCATGCTAATCATATCAAGAAATTAGGTTACTGTAAAAGGTTGCAATGTAATCAACCTAATATTGATGGACACCAAGATATAGGTAAGCCGCTCAGCTCAGAAAACATCACAACCAGACAGTTGCTTGATCATGAAAAACTGGCAAAGAATTAGCTAAAACTAGTGTAATGAGTTGCCAATTTTCTTTTGACACATTTTTCTAATGTCTCTATGTAGCATCGGCACGATTTTTATCAAAAAAGGACACAAATTGGAATAACATCTAACGGAATCAAGGGAATCTATTTTCGGTAAGATTTCTGTATAACCCCATGCTACATTATGCATATAATTCTTGGATAAAAGAAAACAGAGTGAAAACAACAGATCACCTTTGGGACTTCGACTGTGTTTTTGATTGGTATGGGGTTATATAGAAATCTTTCCATATAACCCCATATGAGGAGAGCATTAGACTCTGGTAATGTTGTCGCAGTAGCCTTTTTGGACTTCAGAAAAGCATTTGAGAGCGTATCACACGAAATCTTGCTGAAGAAGCTGAAATATAATTTCGGTATCACAGGAGTGTTGCTAGATTGGATTAGGGCCTACTTGAGGGGAAGAATGCAGTACACTGTGATTAATGGAGTCAAATCTGACATGTTACCAGTAACAAATGGTATACTACAGGGATCAGTTTTAGGCCTATTTTGTTCACTTTATTCACTAATGATCTGCCTGCCGGTATGACCACGGGATCCCTGTTTATTTATGTACACGGACGATACGTCAATTTTCAGCATTGGAGAATCTGCAGATGCAGTGATTGCTTCCTTGAACTGTGCTCTGGAAGAGGTCTACAGGCGGTGCCTAGAGAATCGCTTAACACCTCACCTGGCTAAGATTGAAGTCATGTTAATTAGTACACCAACCATTATAAGGACCGCTACCTCCAATATTTTTGGGTAAATCTGTTTTAGGCTATGTCAAAAAATCGCATCTTCTTGGAATGATTGTAGATGACAAGCTTACCTGGATACTGCATATGCTAGAACTAAAGAAAAACTTTGCGAACAAAATAGACTTATTAAAGCACTCAAGGGTCTAGCCCAAAAATGTCATTTTAAAGTTTTATTGTAGTGTAATATTTATACCTTCTGTGAAGTATGGTATTATATTATGGGGTTCATGTACAAATTCGGATCTTCTGTACTCAATTGAGAAACTTCACTCTAGAGCAGCAAAAATTGTCTACAACTTATCCAAAGATATGGAATCTAATGTAGCTCTCAACGTTTCAGGATGGGATACGATCAATTTAGAATACAAATTTCAAATAGTTAACCTTTTTTATAGAGTAAGTAAAGTTTCACAACCTCAGTCTCTAATTAATTGCATATTCAGGAGGCAGGAATGTAGCTATTCACTATGAGACCAAGAAGCAATAACCATACCTAGATTCAACAATAGATTGTTAAAGGACTCTTTAGCATATAGAGGTTCGGTGCTATGGAACTATGTTAACCATCATGTTAAAAATGTTGGTAGTTTCGCCCTTTATAATCTTAGGAGGCTACTCAGGAGAAATAATCACTTCACAAGCTTTACTTTTACTAGTTTATCAGGTTCGACGGCTAGGAACAGATTAACTGATTACAAGCATTTTTAAGTTGAGAGGAAATTGAATGTTTTATTGTATTATAGTTTCTTATTTAGTTTCAAATGTGTCTTAGTATAATCAATGGTTGACTAGATACTATTTTGTTAAGTACACGACCCCACAAGCTTTTTAGCTTTAATTCTTATCGTGTATAAATAAAGATTCTATTCTATTCTATTCCCTATTTTCAAATTAAGAAAATAAAGATGGGGTATTGCTTGTCGAGGAAAACTTTTCGAAGAATGCGGAATTACGGAATGTTTATGATTAATTCGACCCAAGTACGTACGAATTACTACTCTTCAAGCATTAATTACTTAAACTGTGCACTATGTCATCTATTAAATCTTAGTATAGAGATTTAATTTATCTTTTTCACTGTTGTTGAAATCGCAAACTCTGAGCAGAAACCTTGGCGACAGTATACTACATACAACAAAGCAGAAATAAGGTGTTGTCGATCAGCACTACTCCGTACACGCAGCAAGTGCGCTGAAATTACTCCGATCCAGCCTCTTCTCTACAATATATCCCTGTATATGTGCACGATCCTTCGCAGTAAAGCACTATTTGAGCAATAGTGAAAATCAGACCTGAAAAAAATTTTCATAACCGCAGTTCATACATATGTTTAACCGCAGTTCATACATATAACCGCAGTTCATACATATGTTTCATATGTTTGTTGTTGTTTAATATATCCCTGGTTATTACAAATACAAACTTCAAATGAATTTTTCTCACCAAATTCCAAATAATCATTGCTGTCTTCATGATTTGGGGAGACGAATGAGCTCAAACAAGTGACGCAGTAACAATGAAAAGTGGTGACTCAGCGTAAAATTATACCGGGCTGTTTTGGAATCAAACAGAATAAAACAGTTTGATTAGCTAAGAAATGGTGAACTCAATTCTGAAAAATAACCATATCAAATAAAGTTGCTGTTGTTGTTATCATCGCAGTCCACTGAGCTAGCGATCGAAATCACAGGTGACAAACGCAAGAAGATTTCGACAGCGCAGACCCAAAGAGCGTTGCAGAAAATTCGGAAACTTTCCACATACTCCAAGTTCACGAAAGTTTCATCTTAAAGGTAAATATACTGACCAGTTTTAGAGCCCAACTCTTCAGCCAATATTCTTCAAGGATCACTTTTCTCATTGTTAACATAAAAACCCCCAAATCGTAGGACACCTACCAGGCATTTGCTTGGAGCAGCTTAGTGACCTAAAACGGAGTCTTCACAGAAGATCGGGGATTCCCCACCTCACGTATTTGCTGTTCTGATTGGCTACAAATACGCATGTCTTTATGAATAGACCGCGTTGAAAAAAGACCGTCTGCGATCCATTACATGATTGCCCAAGGCGCTTTAACACTTTGTTGGTAAACGGCATAATGTACGAAACAACGATGTTTATATGAAAAGGATCAAGAAGACTGGAAAACGGACCTGTTATCCCTTGATCCACCTTGGCCAGAACGACCAGGTAAGCAATCACCCCAAGGTGAGATCATTCGATTGGAGGAACTGTCTGGGCACGAGGACATAATTTTTAGTTGAGCGACCGAGGTGAAGTTATTGGTATAAGGTTTTCAGTGTTCAATAAAGATGAGCTATGACTAAAACCGAGTAGAGGCGCACTAGGCCATGTCTGGGTTACTTTTTTTTTTCTATGTTTTTTTTAAAGGAGGCCTGGTGCTCAACCATTCTTGAGAAAATAAGTTTAACTTGCATGTGAATAAAAACTTGTTATCACGTGAAAGAAATTCTTTCACATGGTAACAAGTTTTTATTCACATGCAAGTTATGAGCATCGGGAGTCGCTTTAAAAAAGATACTAATTGAAAAGTAATTCGAAAATAAACCATTGGTATAGGGGCGCTTAATGGAATCAGGGTATTAACAAACACCAATGCGGTGGAGGCGCAGTGCTTATTGGAACAAGGTTCAAAATCGAATCACGACAGTACTTTCCTTGAGCTGGATTTTGTTAGTTCATGCTTTGGTGAAGAATAAAAAATGGAAATGTTAAGAAAAGGCCAAATAACTTAAAAGGCCCTAGATTGCCATGAATATACCCAAATACCTGACCAAAAATGAAGTAACACCCAAATTCATTTATTTCCATTGTTGGTTACTAACAGTGTAGTTAGTAATTAAGGAGTTAAACACTGATACATGCATTCACATTTGCATTTTGTTCATAAGTCACCACAGGTGAAATTCCTAGCAGTGAAAACTCACCCATCATATCTCTTAGAAGTACTACAATGCAAAAAAAAATTCAAAATACAAATATGAGTAAAAATTAAATCAACTAGAACAAGTGAAATTAACAACAGTAAAAATTCACCCATCTAATGTCTCTTGGAAGTACTATAATGCACAAAAAAATTAAAATTCCAATATCAGAGAAAAAATTTAAATAAAGTAGAACTGTTCAAAAAAAATGTTTAACTCGTCATAAATCTTAGTTACCAGTATTCACAGAATAAGTATAGACAATCATGTATCTTACACATGTGCACTTAATCTGACCACTTAAATAGAAAACCACAACACTGTCCATTGATTGGGAGGACTGGAATGCATCATTACAATAAGGCATACAGATATTAACAAATGGTAAACACCACAGCGTACACTATTGAGTTATAGATGCACGCAGGAGATTGCTAAGCACGAAAGAAGCGAAAGAGTCGCTCGAGGTGATAGCGGAGGATCGTGCATCATATGTATCTAATACTGCAGTACAAAATATATGAACTTCATATATTTCATTGTATCTCACTGAATTTTTGATTAAACAATTGAATCTAAAGAGTAGCTACAAAATAGTTCAGTTGCACAGCTTTTCAGTGAACAAATATCTCAGAAGAAAGTGAGATAGGTAATCATCAAAACACAGTACTTGACATAAAATGATTTATCAGTATCCACTTAGGATCAAATAATCATGCTCACGTCAGAGGGCTAATGGGGTTACAGGTGAGACAATGAATTGACCTCAACATTTCTTTATACTAATTTATGTGGCATGTTTGGAGAACACAACAAAAATACTCTTACTGTTATTTATAAGAATGTGGTTTAGTATAAACCTAACAAGGATATAGTTTTAAAACCCACCAAAAAAGGTTATTAGATCACCCTCTGTGTTATTGGTCAGGAGTTTGTTGTAATTCAGACCATTCATTGATCTCACTGACCATGTCATCCCTTTCCATCTCCTTTAATATGTCTACAAAATCCCCCACAGTTCCTTTGGGTTTTACTGCAGAAAATCTTTCTCTTAGTAGAACATAACTAACAGGATCAAGAACATTCTGTGTCTTTGTTGCCTGTTGAAGAACCTCAAACTGAGGTATCGTAAGTCCTAGCTTCTCTGCAAGGAGTCTTTTGTCTTTGCCATCTCTTCTTGGTATGTCGAGTGACAAACAAATATTATACAAAAGCTGGAATGGCATTTGTAAAATCTTGGCATTGTACTTTTCTCTCTGTGTTAACACTGACCAGTTGACAGCTCTCATTGATTGCACACTCATATTGACAGGACAATTTCTCACAACATTGATAAGGGATTGAGGCCACAATTCAGGTGATAGAAACTGGTTTTGAGGCTGCTGGAAAACTGTCAAAAAAAGAGCACACAATATTACTGTCTTCTCGCTACTTTTTAAAATGGACTGCTTCAAAGGTCTCTCAGCCCTTTAACTCCCAAGATCTGATAAGCAAATCTCCCTTCTAGTTGCTATACTGTCATCAATCATCCTTCAAAAATGCTTAGTTTGAAATTATTTTACATGTTCAACAAAGCACATACTTTCTCCAGAGTTAACTGAAAAACTTCTTCCATGCAGTTCTTGAATATTTACATAAACGTAATCATAGTTACTAATTTTTATGTCTGGTTTGCAAAACATTTTGTTCTTTTTTTGTGGGGAGTGGAGCTTAAGTTTTCTAATCTTAGTTTTCTTTGAATTGTATGTTTTGGCTTGGGCTTTGGGTTAATTCATCCATTCCAAATCATTATTTATGTATAAATTCCAAATTACTTGAGAGGTCAAGTGAAGCAGAAAACTCACAAGTACAAGGCACTAAAACTGACACTCACCCATGGGGCCAAGCATCAGACCAAGTATAAAGTTTGGACATGATGTGTTCCTGTCAGTTGGTGGGTTTAAATCCCTTGGTGTTTCATCAATGCAAGAAGGAGTTCCTGGAAGTTGTGCTACTACCTCAACTCTGTCTGATTGGGTTAAAATAACAAATTATTAATAAGCAAATTGAATTAGCTCCTGAATTATAGAGGGTTACTGCCTGAAATGTCAGCCTTTAAAAATCATAGTGGTGGTTGATACCAAAGAAAGCACAATTACAATAAAACTTGCATTTTTATTTTTAAAAAAAATTGAGTACATTAAATTAAATAAAAAAACAAGGGCATAGCCGGGGGGGTCCTGGGGTGCCCATGACCCCCCCTTAGTAGGCCTTCTTTTGAGCAAACAACCTACAATATTCAGGTGGCGAAAACGCCATGACAGTATCTTGGCCGTAAAAGCTATTGTTGAAAAGCCCACTTTTTTAAAATTTGTTTTTTTGTAAAGTATTTTCGTCAACGGCTCTTGTATTNTAGCGCTATCTACTGCGAGGATCGTGCATCATACGTATCAAATACCGCAGTTCAAAATATATGATTTTCATATATTTATTCTATCTCATTTATCACTTTCACGGGTTCATTACGAATCAACTTAACGGCCTGCTCTCAGTTGGCTTGTTAGCTCAATTGGTTAGAGCGCTGCACTAGTATCGCAGAGGTCAGTGGTTCGAGTCCCGTACAGGCCTGATTTTTTTCAGGTCTGAATTTCGCTATTGCTTAAATAGCGCTATCTACTGCGAGGATCGTGCATCATACGTATCAAATACCGCAGTTCAAAATATATGATTTTCATATATTTATTCTATCTCATCATAGAATATCTACTAAATATACAGACGTTAGTGATAAAATATTTCAGCAGCATAAATTTATGTAAAAGGACACAACAGTTTTGATTATCACATTTCACATAACAACTTTGAACCCCGATCGACAGATTTCGCAAATCGTCACAATAAAATTGTTACCACAACACAGACGAAATATCCGAGGGAAATAGAATGAATTTACGTAAGAAAGCAATACGAACCCATAGGATGCATAAAATCTAAGGCTGGCAAAAGTACATGTAAAGCACTCGGAGAGTTGTCTCCCTTCGCAAAGGTTCGCCATTTTATCTTTTGAAATCGAGGTGGTGGTTCTATAATTTCTGCCCGAAACCATGATCTGTCACCCGACGATGTTGATGGAACTCATGCATCTGTAACTTTTTTGTCGGCCGATAACGTTATCCTAATTAGGATTAAGAGCTACTTGCTCGCATACTTAACCTTCACTGGGACTTACTCACGACAGAAGAGTCTGTAATTGGTATTACTCCTGACTATCAAATTACAAATAAAAAAAGGTTTTGACATGGGTATCTAAGTAACGGTCGTTAATGGTCGCTGAAGGGCAGAACTGGCGACAAAATTAAGAGGAACAATGAATCTGTCCTCATAGTATAGTAACCAACTATCTTTATCTTGTCTTAGCCTGGTCTTGGTTCTTATGTCATTTTATCAGCTATAACACTAGCATTGTCTTCAATCGGTTTTTCCTAAGCTTTTATATGGAATCAAAGAGCGAAAACTACCTAATTTTAAAAGGATCATTCTGTACTTACAGACAAGACAAGAACTAGTAGAATCCCCGCAGTCAGGTTGCAGAATAAGCTGTCTTCGTGAAACCCAAAAGAGGCCATTTTCTACAAGAACACAAAGGAAATAAAATTCTTT